TGAGACATGACGACAGTGAGATAGAGCTACAATTGACAAGATGGCAGCTCTGAAGTTTCATGCTGGAAGAAGGTGAGAGAGCAGCTTCAAAATGGACACAGCAGGATCTGACTGTGAGGAAGAGAGGGAGGGCCACAAACGAGCAGTGATGCAGGAGGCGTTCCACAGAGAGGCGTGCCAACCTGACGCATCACAGGTCCAAGCCCACCTCCACTGACGTCAGCATCTTCCAAATGCTGAGGACGCGGCCAGTCAGACCACATCTACCATCTACAGTTGAATCATAAAGAGGACAATACCACCTTAAAGACTGTGAACCTAACAGCACAAAGTTTAAAAAGGTCAAGAAGGCTTCACAGTGAAAATGAACTTCAGCCAAAATGCTCTCACATGAGACCGAGTGCTGACAGAGACATCACCAAGGAAGAGCTCTCTGTCTCACCATGATCAACATTACAAATGGTCAGACTGTCAGAGGCCTTGAAAACTGCAACATTTTGCTGAAAAAGAACTGTTTGAAGACTGACCCCAAAAGAGTTTGGGAGCAGGAGTGTTAATAATTTGTAGGAGAAGAAAAAATAGAAAAATAGGGGAAGAAAAAAGAAAATAGGTACTGATGTTAAATCCACAAAAGACAGACAAAGAATAAGGTTAGTTCAGGATCTATAAAATAGCAAGATATGTCATTAATAATTGATTAATTAACACAAATATACTGAGTTAATAACTTTGATGTCCTACTCTCCTCCAGCAGCCACCTATTACTGAATTTCAGCAAAAAAGGGATCAGAACATCAAGCATTCCTTGTGTTTTTAAACAGAGTTTTAGGAAAAGGGGATCTAGTGGGATTATTTTATAATATAACTGTTAGAGATCACTGTCTGCTCTGGGTTTGTGCAGAGGAACAGCCAGCGCAGAGCTCCTCGGTGTAGCAAATACAATGACAGGCAACCTTTCAGGCTTGATTTTAAAGAGGCCGAAAGGAGAAGCCTCATTGAAGCCTTTATAAAGCAATTTCAGTAGCACAATGCTACTGCTTGCTTAAATTTGATGATTGACCTTGACCAAGCAACTGTAATGATAACCTGAGTTAATTTATGTTTTCTTTCTGTTTTTGTAGGTAGTATTAGTAAACTAGTTTGAAGTATGGAAGAATTGTAGTGCACTAATGAATAATGGAGTGTTATTTCAAGATTTGCTATGTGAACGTCCAATAGCAATGTAATTCAATACACAGATATACAGGAGGTTAGAAGGGTTAAATTGCAAGCAAATGAAATATCTAGGAAGCAAAATCATGTTGAAAAAGATTGATATTTTCCTCACAGATAGAGACAATAGTTAAGTCTCCAAACTACAAACAGTAGGATAAAGCTAACTTATTGGTAATAGTAAGATACAGTTGCAAGCAAGGTAAATACTTCTTCGCAGTCAAAGACCAGAGGAGGCCAATCTCCACTGTGATGCCTCGGGAGGCAGACGCAGCATCAAGCGTGACCTTCACCACCACAGAGACAACTTTGACAATCACCAGCTATGAGTCCAAGTGAAGCAGCAAAGGGAAGAACAAGACTGACTCTACAAACAATTGAGCGCCCTCAAATTGGTACCCAGTCTGTTCCCCAAGAAACCTGAGTGCCAAAAAGAGTTCCACAGTACAACAGGCAACTATCAAAATGGACATCATACATGTTTATCGGACATTTTGCACCATTCTGAAGTGTCACATGAATGATGTTGAAACACTGTTATGTCTGGTTACTGTATTGTTACACAGAAAGTTCACTGTGCACCCTGTGATTGTTTTGATATATGATGTGTGCCTTTCAACACATTAGGTGTTATAGTTGTTAGCTTGCTAAAGTATATAACGAAAGAACAGCTCACTGCATAAAGATATTTTGTTTCACGAGTGTAAACCATTTACAAGGTATATCTCACTATTTTATAGCACGTATAGGTAGTTTAATATGTTAAGCTCATTTAAAGGGAATCTCATCTAAAGGGTAATAAGGAGAGAGGAGTAATGGAAATCCTTGTCATTATAACTTGCTCAAATGTGTTAGCAACAGAAACAGCCCACAGCATGATTATTGATTATTTCACAACGTGTAAACACTAATTTGGGTATTTTCTTGAAGGTCTGCAAGTCTGAGAAATAAGTTTCATATGCCAAGTACAACAGGCCGCCTATTTTCAGTGGTCACAGTGTTGGTGTATAAAGTGTGAGGCTTTACAGCCTCAGAGGAGGGAGTGTTGTGAATTATTTTGGAGCATTATAGCCTAAATTGTTATCATTAATTACTAGAGCAATGGTGGTCTGCATTGTCATCATTTAAAGTGTTATTTTATAGTGTAAAGTTAGGATCACAGTGCTAAAACTCTATAGCTCTGAGTATGTGTGCTCCTTTCTGCCCAGGCTCAGCAGTAGCACATGTGTGTGTGTGTGAGCAAGCTCGTGTGCTTTGGGAGCAAAGGGAGGGAGCACAGTAAGAGCATCAAAAACACTTGCAAAGGAAAATATAGAAGCAGATTTTGTGAAAATTGTATTACAAAACATACATCAATATAGTCCATCACAGTAAGAATGTCCTGTTTCTAGCACAGAGCACAAATACCAGTTTATTCCACAAAAGTTAGGTTATGGATGAAATGGCATGATCAAGCGGAGTGCATGCAAAGGACACAGAGAGGAGGAGCAGGCAGTCAGGGAATTTCCCAGATTCAGGTGCAGTAGGAAAGAGAGTCAAGAGATGATGTGAAGCAAAGAAACAGAGCTATAAAAGGAGGTCCAAAAGGAGGTGAAAGTCAGTCGTTACATGGTTTTCATGTCAACTCGGGTCTCTGTTCTGGTAACAGAATGGGGTTCTATTCTTTTCTAATTGGTGTCTGGTTTTGTTGATAATAAAAATGTTGGTAAAAGTTCAAGCTTTCTTATCTGGCCCAAGTCTTGAACAGGACAGGATCTTCTTTTTGTCCATGTTATCTGTTAATGAGGCTATAACAGGGGGGATGTTTTGAAACATCTTTTTTTTTGTCATGAAAATATCCCCCCACCTCCCACGGTTCGGCACGTAGGAGAAATGTGGATTGATTGCAAAGTTTAACGATCACAGTATGAGAAAAAGTTTTACTGCCGCTGTTACTTTTTAAAGTAATAAATATATAACGTTACATTGCGATGCAGAGTTGCAGTGAAAAGACAGAGAAGACAGATGCATGCTGTGTCACCAAGTGAAACCCCGTAGCTGTGACTTTGGGTATGTTCACAATGGTGTAACAGGGACACTGCGGGGCTTGTCATCATAGAAACAGATCATCAGATTTTGATGTTTATTGCACCTTCAGTAATATCGGCTGCTCTCTGTTCAACACCCATATATATATATAAAACCCTAGAGGGTCGGGGTTTGGGGGTGCAGCAACCCGGTCAATATGTAAAAGGATGTGCGTTGCCTCAAAAGTTTGAGAACTGCTGCTCTAGTTACTACATGATGAAGAGGTCATTTGAAGAGTCTAAACATCACATATCCAGACAGGGAAATCATTACCTAATGTACATATAACAGTATACTGTATAGTATGCAGTAAACATGCAGTCTTCCCTCGTGTGGTTTTTTGACAACTTGACCTTGGTGGAAGGATTTATCATAAGCAGTCACATGTTCACATTTGTTGTATTTGCATTCAGTCAGTGTTTATTACCCCATATTTAGATACAGTTGTAACAAATGTAGTATTTGATACCCATAAATGTAAGCTGTTGCTCTAGGCCAGAGTCAGACCACAGAGTTTCAAACACTATGAAAACACTATGAAAGTACACTGAAGCAAAACTATATGTAAGATTGTTACATTCAACAATTTTTCCTTGAGAATCTTTTTGATGCAGGGCAGGTATTATGAAATGTCTGTATAGGCGTTGGGTACACAGCAACAACAGGATGTTTACAGTTAAAGTTCATGTTGAAAGAGACAACACTATCTGCTGTCCCATTGCACGCAACCAGAAACACCTTGTGACAAAGCTTAATGTCTTTTTACCAGGTATTTATCAATATTTATATTTATCAACATGCAATGCACTATTTTTGGTTAAAATAGCATCATTACATTTTAAAAACTAAAATAAATAGTTGAATAAACTAGGTGTTCTTATTCTTTCGTCTCTCATAAGGCGGATTTGCTGTGATTGCTGCAGGTTTCCCCTGGTAACTCCGGGTAACGTGTTTCACGGCACACTGCTATGAACTGTGGACATTTCCCTCAGGCAAAGTCTGCAGAAATGTGGACTTATGAAAAGGGTGCAGAAAGGGCTCAAAATGTCCACGAGAGAGCCCTCACGCACATGTAGCCCAGGATACATACATGCGCGTGACAGCAAAGCACATTTTAATGTTTAGAAGAACTACCTTATCAGTCTAAATGTTGTCTCCCTTGCAAGGACAGTTACGTGAGAGAAATTACAGAAATCAGATACTGTTGATGTCCATCCTGTCCGTCCTCACGATCAGCAGCTGTAAGATCAGCAGCTGTAACTACTTTCTCTGCAGAGAGCATTTGTTTTTATCTCCTCACCTCAACAGGATGGTGGAGGGTTAGTTGATGCTCTGTGTTCTGTTCCAAGACTCATTTCACCCTTCAAAACCATATTAATCTTTTTGCGTGTTTCATATTTTTAAACTCACTTTTTGGACGCTGAACTGCATGTACTTTCTTGCCCAGTTGAGCATGCAGAGACTCACAATCAAAAAGTGAAAGTTTTAGACCAACAAATACAGAGACTGAGAGAGGCCGTTTTGTCTGTCTCTCAGATGTCTGACACTCTGTTGGACCTCCTCCTCTCCCTGCTCATGAATACTACTCAGCTACTTAGCCTTATTACTTTTTGGAAAGAAAACCTTATATATAATGTATATGTACATATATATATTTAACTTACATTCCATTTCTGTCTTCTGATGAAAAATGTAACCACAGGAAATTATTTGAAAGTATCTGACATTTGACACTGAGGTTTTATTTTGCATTTCAGATTAAACATTGACAGTGAGATTTAAACACAGCAATATCGCCACAATAACATAATAAAAATAAAAAAAACTTTTATTTAAAAAGCATTTTTCAAGCAAAAAACAAAAACTAATTTCCAAAGAAATAAAGATGTTAATTGTTAAGAAAGGCCATTCTGTAAAAGTGAGTTTCCAGCAGACCTGATGCTAAGTGGAAGGCAGTTCAACACAGTAAAGGTATGCTATATTTAACAATCCTTTTGCTTGAGAACATTTTTGATCCAGGAAAGGTATTTTGATATATTTGTGTAGACGTTAGGAACATTTGGGTAGTCACAGTTTTTTCTCATGTTGAAAGACACGACACCAACAGCCTTCCCACTGCACACCAGAGGACCACCCGAATCACCCTGTGAGGAGGAGGAAGCTGAATTTGTTTATTCAATTTCTAAGACTAGAAAGCAGTGAAGCTAGAAACCAGCTGACACTTTCTATGAACAGACAGAAAACATACCTGACAGAATCCTTTGTTTGTGCCATATCCACCGGCACAGATAACATTGTCAGGAAGATTACCACCAATAGCAGCCCATTCTTTCTTACAGACCTCCAGGTTGACAAAGGGCACGTCCACCACTTGCAGTACATCAACAACTTTACCACGACTTTGAGTCCAACCCCATCCAGCGACATGGCACTTCTCCTTATCTTTTATTTTAATGTCAGTCTTGGGAAGTTGAGTTGGTTGAACTCTTTTGCCCAGTCGAGCTTTCTTAAACAGCTGGAGACGTAAAAGTGAAAAGCATTGGTATTATCATCCATCAGACCTCAGGTTTGAATTAAATTGAATTGAATGGAATTAAGACATTTTAAAAAAGTATGTTTGAAGATGGAGTAAATGAAAGTGAAAAATGCATAATTTAATCTGAGACTGTTAGACCGATCTGACAATATCTACTTACTTTGAGAAGCATGATGTCATGACCATATCGTTCATTGTCAAAAGATGGATACCTGCATCTCTTTACACTGTATCTCATCGTGTCATTATCAACCTTCCTGAGATTGTGGGTGCCAAGAACAACACTTGTAGGATTCCTGAGGGAAAGATCATTGAGAAGTTGTCAATTGTTACAAATGAAATAAAACTGCAAAAATGATTACATCTTTATGCCACATATTTTGATTTGCTTTGTAATTACATGAATCAAAGATTCCAGAAAGAGGGGAAGTAACTCACTGGCGGTCACAGTGCGCAGCAGTGACCACAAAGTCTTCACTGATGAGGAATCCTCCACATACATGACCCATGTTGTTCTGCACTGAAGCCATAAACAGCATTAAGTTCTCCGGGGTCTTTTTACCATTTATGATTTCACCACCATGTGCTAAAAAGAACAGAGGAAAAAATAGGTGAGTTAAAGCATGTATAGACAAGAGACGTTAAACCAGATTTGATAATCTTACCAAGTCCAAGATATGTCAGAAGATAAAAAAGCAGAAACTTGTGCAGTTGATGCATCATGCTGGGAGCAAACTCAGCTTGTTGTCTTTGGGGTGACAATACATGACCCTTATATACAGCAGTTTTCTCAGTAAGCAACCCCGTGGTTTTTATCTGCTTCACCATGACTTCTTAAGCCGCTTACTCTGTGCATCAATGCAACCTTGTCTTGTAATGACGAGTGCCTGTGGTCAGTAAAGATTTGAAGCATCGTGCAGTGCTGATATTTTTACAGTAAATATAAAGGCTGCGGTTCTTCTGCCTCAGCAGCCTGAAGCACATAAATACATTATGTGATCAGCACATGATGAGTTTAACAGTCTGTTATTTTAACCCATTTAATCTCTGCTACATTTATTATTATTCAATTATTTTTTCTCTTGTATCTATTGCTCTCTGTCAACCTCTGTATTTTGTTATTTCTGGGAATTTTTAGATCTTCCTCTCTCACTGTTTGGATACCACTAATCTACTAAGTTAGATGAACTGAAGTAAAAAAAAAAAAAAAAAGATTCCAGTGATGGATATACTTTTAGCCGTAACATTTAAGCTGTTGTTGGCTGTTGTCACTGTGACTGTGAAAATCAAAATGAGTAACAGAAACCACAGCTTCAGGTTTGAGAGCCAGTATTCTCACAGTCACAACTAAAGCTCCAAAGTCATGTGATCATTGACTGACAGCTAGAAGTCTAACGGAGCATCATGACTCATCTGTCAGTGTTTCACTTGAACAAGTGGAACATGTTGACGTGTATTTTAAACTGACTGATGTTACTGTAGGCTGGCCCTAACAAGAATGTGACCGTCTGGTTGTTTATTAAATGGAAAAGAATATGTGAACAGGAGGTAGCCTACCACTCAATGAAATGCAAGAATCAAACAAATTTATGTAATAATTCCCATAGGGCTGACCCCAAATAGTCGAAGATTGGATGCTTCAATGGGCAGAGCCTGATTCGACTGTCAATCTCACAGTCGAAGCTTAACAGCGATGGGAAAGGATCATGCCATTTTGTTTTTATGGGGGTGCTAAATGTTTGATTTTACATAGAACTACCAGTTTTCGCCCAATAACTTAATATACAGCCTATCACAATATACATTTCAATGTTTAATGCTGTAATAAACATGTAAAAATCTTCCAAAAAATGTTTTTAAAGTGGTTGAATAAATCCAAAATTGTAACCCTAACCCTGGGGCGTCAGTGTGCATGTGTAAGTGTAGCGTATATGTGTGTAGTGGCAGAAGAGGAGCGCCAGCTTCACTGGTGTTGTGCCAAGTTGTCAGGACTCGCAGGACTTTTGGATAATTTATCACTGTTGATGAGCCACACAAACAATATTTTGTTTAATCGTATTTAACAGCCGGCTACTTGAAATAGACCCGCGAGGAACCGCAATGTGCATGCAGTTGTCAGCAGCAGGGAATGCACTCAAAACTCACACAAGACCAGTGAATGACAGGCAAGAGGGAGAGAGAGAAAAAATAGTCAACAATATACCTCAGTTTAGCTTCGGCTCGCAATTGCCGTGCACAAAAACACACATGATTCGACTATCAGTCGACTATAGGCAGGATGTGACGATTCTGATTCAACTATGTAACTCCCCAGTCGGGACAGCCCTAAATTCCCACATAACAAGAACATAATGAAAAATGTTTTGAAAAGTGTGGAAGCACCCCGACATTTTACTCTTTGGCGTACCGGGACATTTTCTTGCGTACCGGGACTTCTCCGAAGCTGCCGGTCCTCTCTTCTGCCCTCTCCATATCAGGTTCTCTGTTCCCGTTCTCGCCTGCCTGTTAAACTCTGTCGGTGGAGAGAGATGAGGGAGAAGAGTAGCTCGGTTCCTTTCAAGCAGCCTTGGGCTGAATGTAGCTCATCAGTGTTGCTTGTCGTGAACCGACCAATCACAGCCTGGATGGGGCGGGACATTTAAAAGTGTTGACAGATAGGTGTCATTTACACTGGGGGGGCACTGCAGACAGGTCAGAATCTGTCTCCATCACTTTTTCAAAGCTTTTATTAAAAAAAATTTGGAAAAAAAGATTGCAACTAGAAATGTTGAATACCAAATGAAACAATGCACAATAAGAAAACATGCAATGCAATTGAAATAGAAGAAACAAATTTGCATTGTCCAAAAAATGACTGAATTATATTCCATTATATTTTTAATTGTCACCTTAATTTAGTTTCCCTTCATATAAATAAAGACATTTCCTCCATAACTTGGTGCATAAAATGTATTCAGAATGCAGGAAATTGAATGTGATGAATGTGCAAAGTGGTTAATGTTAAGATATTTACTAGTTTCATGTTGTGGTTGTAGATAGTGCGGGGGGGGGGGGGGGGGGGGGCTTTTGTGTTGTCTTTATTTCTCAGCCCCGGAGGTTGTTGCTTGCCCATGACACAAGTATTTCTTTGAATTGTGCGATAATCTTGAGAAACCACAGAAACCACAGAAAGTTCCATTCTGACTGTGGATACCGTAGGCTGCATGCAAGAGTATTTACCCTGAGAGGTTTTGTGAACCTTTTGTTGGCTATACAACCTTTGCATTTGTGTCCACTGATGAAAGTTGTCACAGAATGAAAACACTTTTTTGGGGGGGCTGACAAAGTGATTTGCACAAAGCAATAGATCCATTAAATGTTTATCCAAAAACAATTTGTCACACTGTTACATGCAGTTTGTTTTCTGGAAAATCTCTTTCATCCAGGGAAGAAATTTTGATATGTCTGTATAGATGTTGGGTACATCTGGATAATCACAGTTATGTTTGCTGTTAAAGGAAACAACACCAACTGCAAACTTCCCGTTGCACAGAGGGCCACCAGAGTGTGAGGAGGAGGAAGCTTCATTACACAAGATGTTTCTACTTTTTTTAAACCACAAACCAGCTGGCATTTTCTATCGAAGTACAGAAAACATACAGACAGAATATTTTCTTTGTTCCATATCCACCTGCACAGATAACACTGGCAGGAAGGCTATTATGCCATGCCTTCTGACACTTTTCCAGCTTAATGTAAGCTTGTGTCATCTAAAGAAACAGGAAACCATGTGAAAAGTTATTTTTTTTATTTTTTTTACAGACAAAACAACCCCTCCCAATCAAAGCATGCCGAAGCAAATCTCTGTGTGAGATTGTTACTTTTAACAAGTCTTTTCCTTGAGAATCTTGTTGTTACTGGGTTAAATGTATTAACTTAATTTGAGGAGCATGATGTCATTCCCTTTTGAAACATTTTCATAAGATGGGGGTTTACACTTCTTTTCAATAGATCTCACTGTATTTTCAGCCTTGAGATTGTGGGAGCCAAGAACAACACGTGTGGGATTCACAACAAAGCAAAGCAACAACCCAAGTGAAAATATTGGGTTTGTAAAACCAGAATATTTTTTATTTGACTTCTATTTACATTAATTAAAAAAAAAATGATGAAAAGGTAAAGTAACTCACCAGCAGTCACAGTGTGCAGCAGAGACTACAAAGTCTTCACTGATGAGGAATCCCCCACAGACATGACTATGATCAATGTTCTGCAGAGAGGCCATATACAACATAGTTTTGTCCAAGACATGTCAGAACATGAAAGAGCAGAAGTTTGTGCAGACCATGCATGATGCCAGCAAGTTAACTGACTTGTATTCTTGGGTGTGTCAAGTGGATCCTTTTATACAGCAGTTTGCTTTCTTGGAAAATGTGATTATTGTCTATTTTATCTTGAATTCTAACCACATCCCTTTTTGCATTGCAAGTTTGCAACTTTTGTGTTATCTTTGCATCATCTTGTCTGTTTATGTTATCTGATCACTGATAAGTGCATAACATGTGTTGTCCTTTACCAAGGCTATATACTGGACTAAGTTACCCTGGTGCAGGCTGGTTTATTATGTGATCTGTATGTTCATATCTTCATTTAATCTTCTTCTCTGCACTGTTTGTGTAATTGTCGATAGTTAATTCTCAGAATTCTGACTTTAAACTCAAATATTAACATTTGAGGATTTGTGTTCTCACTGTTATGGAACTGATGCTCTAGTTAGTACATGATGAAGAGGTCATTTGAAGAGTACAAACATCACATATCCAGACAGGGAAATCATTACCTAATGTACATATAACAGTATACTGTATAGTATGCAGTAAACATGCAGTCTTCCCTCGTGTGGTTTTTTGACAACTTGACCTTGGTGGAAGGATTTATCATAAGCAGTCACATGTTCACATTTGTTGTATTTGCATTCAGTCAGTGTTTATTACCCCATATTTAGATACAGTTGTAACAAATGTAGTATTTGATACCCATAAATGTAAGCTGTTGCTCTAGGCCAGAGTCAGACCACAGAGTTTCATAGTTTCTGTCAGCATGTCTGCCCTGTGCAGTGCAATACAAACCTCCCTCAGTCCAAGCCAAACAATGTGTCTGTCATCCTTCTACAAATGATTCAGTGTCTTTCCTCTGTAGCAGCTGTGTTACAGAGCAAGTATTTTACCTTAAGAGAAAGCTGTAGCCTATGTGTCACTGAAGCCTACTGTTTCTAGGTTAGAAAGAGCAAGCTCCGATTTAGCAATATAGACATGGCAATACCTGTCAAACACTATGAAAGTACACTGAAGCAAAACTATATGTAAGATTGTTACAACAACAACTATCTGCTGTCCCATTGCACGCAACCAGAAACACCCTGTGACAAAGCTTAATGTCTTTTTACCAGGTATTTATCAATATTTATATTTATCAACATGCGATGCACTATTTTTGGTTAAAATAGCATCATTACATTTTAAAAACTAAAATAAATAGTTGAATAAACTAGGTGTACACTATGAAAGTACACTGAAGCAAAACTATATGTAAGATTGTTACATTCAACAACTTTTCCTTGAGAATCTTTGTGGCAGGTATTATGAAATGTCTGTATAGGCATTGGGTATGTCTGAATGGTTACAGTTAAAGTTCATGTTGAAAGAGACAGCACCAACTGCTGGTTGCTTCTTCAATGCTTCTTTTTTTTTGTCTCTTATATGGCGTATTTCCCTCGCACACATGACAATTTGACAGTTGGAAAGCGCCCCCAGCATTCACTGGAACTTTCCCGGAACTCAAGACCCACTCACCGGCCAACTCAGAACCAGAAGTATTTTCAGTAGGGCTGGCTGCCCAGGAGACATACATGCCTGTGACAGCAAAGCACATTTTAATGTTTAGAATAAACAACTACCTTATAAGTCTAAATGTTGTCTCCCTAACAAGGACAGTTACGTGAGAGAAATTACAGAAATCAGATACTGTTGATGTCCGTCCTCAAGATCAGCAGCTGTCACTACTTTCTCTGCACAGGGCATTTGTTTTTATTTCCTCACTTCAACAGGTTGGTGGTAGGTTAGTTCCATATTAATAATTTTGCATGTTTCATATTTTTAAACTCGCTTTTTTTGAAGCTGAACTGCTGCACTTTCTTGCCCAGTTGAGGATGCAGAGACACACAAAATCAAGAAGTGAAAGTTTAAAACTGAAGTACAGAGACTGAGAGAGGCCGTTTTGTCTCTCAGATTTCTGACACTGTGTTGGACAGGGCTGGACTGGGACAAAAAATATGACCTGGCATTTTTGGCCCAGGCGGCCCACCAAAATTGGTAGGACACCCCTCACCAATACGCCATCCTTCCATTTAAGGGCTCGGATTAGGGGTGTGACGAAACACTTAGCCCATGAGACATAACATTGCACAAGATTGGGGCCATGACAACAAGACAAGAATATATTTTAATAGGCCTACTATTTAGAAAAACAAATGTATTGATGAACTAGAATGGGCATTTCCTTAAGAAAATGCTTGTGAGAGCTGCCAGCTATTTTTTGCGATTGCTACCGCTGTCGGTGCAATGTGTGGCTCCATCAGAGACTCAATGATGTGCTGCACACTTGTTCAGCAAACATGTGTTAAGTTTGGCCCCATTTTCGTTAACATGCTGTGAGCAGGGTTTTATCCATCAATCTCTGGATCCGGAGCAAGACCTCAACCACCGGACTACTCAAATACACTGTGAAGGGAAGGCTTTCAAGTTTCTTTGTCAATCATGTCTTATTCTGACAAAAAAAATGGCTCCTAAGCACCAATAGAAGGCATGTTTTGCTTATAAACATTTTCTGTGATGGCTACTCCGATGTTGAAGAATAAAATAAATGAACAGCCAAAGAATTGTGCTGTAAAGACTTAATATTGTGTGAAAGTCAGTAAGGACTCGACATTTTGTTAGCATCAAGTTCAAACAACTAACAACTCCATACATTCGCAAGTTTTAATATATTAATATTGAGAATCAAATTAATGTTAGGTTCAAGAAGGACTCCTCTAAGGACTGTCTGTTCATCAGTCTTTTATCTATCAATGCAGCTGTTCTTATGAAATGAAACAGGCACTTCACTCCTGGTTTCAATAGTAAACCACCACAAGAATGACAATTACCAACAAAAAACACTATATTCTAAGCTGCAGTTCACACTAAATAGTTGATGAGGAGGTCTGGGGGTCCTCCGCCAGAAGATTTTGAGCGTTAAACACTTTCTGCTCCAGGGAATCAGAGGGCCAGTAAGAGATGTGATTGGGCCGGCCCAGTGTCAGTCCAGAAAATTACCCAATGAGCCGTTGTCCATGCTTTATGGGCCAATCGTTGCCAGATTACCAGTCCAGCCCTGGTGTTGGACCACCTCCTCTTCTAAGTGAACCTTAGTTTGATGAGTTTTATGGGTAAAAAAAAAAACACAGACGCAAGACCAGCTCTGTCTATCTACACAGCCCACTGAAACATTTGTTTGAGTTCTGTGAAAACTAGATGAACCATTAAAACCACAGTTTCCAGATTCAGGTTTTATCCACAAAGTTCTCATGTCACAGTTAGATGTTTTGGTGGCAGACCGTCTGACGGTAAGTGTCCTGTTTGTTTCTCCTTTTTTCTTGCAATCTGTGTTTTGCCTGCCTCTCTGTGTCTCCTCCGCTCACCTTGCTTGTGTTGTCCCTCTCTCTCTCCACACCTGCCCCTCATCAGCAGCTCCCCCGCCTGCCATCCCTGCCAGTATATCAACCCCAGTTCTCCACACAATCTCTGCTTGATCGTTGTTGCTTCTGACCTGATGCTACTGCATTATTCAAGCTCCCGTGATTCTTGCAAAATCTCTGTTTCCTTGTTCTCAGTTTTCCCTGAGATTAACCCTGTCTCTCTGTTTTTAAACCTTCCCAGGTTTACTCACCTCCGTCCACCGTTGCGTCAGCTGGGCTCCCCTACCTGCTCTCTCCCCTCGGGCTTCCTCCACGGCGTCCTCCTGGCTCTCCCTCATGCCTCGCCAGTCAGCTTCCCACCACACTACTCCCCCCCGGTCAGGTCTCCGGTCCCCGGTGCCCCTCAGCTCCCCTGTCTTAGCCCCCTCTGCCCTACGTGCTCCCCATGCTCCTCGGTCCTCGGTGCTCGTGTTCCCCGGCATCCACCTCTATCTCACCTCCACTCCCTCAACCCCTCTATCCCCAATAAAACCTGTTTCATCTGAGCGTTGCGTTTGGGTCCTCTATGTCCAACTCACAACAGTTAAGAAACTGCCCTGGTTAAATTCATTATCAATTGACTGAGCTGATAGTTTATAAGTAATCCCTTTGGGAAAGAAAACCTTATATAAAGGTATATGTACATATATATATTTAACTTACATTCCATTTCTGTCTTCTGATGAAAAATTTAACCAGAGGAAATTATTTGAAAGTATCTGACATTTGACACTGAGGTTTTATTTTGCATTTCAGATTAAACATTGACAGTGAGATTGAAACACAGTAATATCATCACAATAACATAAAAATAAAAAAAAGTTTTATTTAAAATCACTTTAACTAATTTCCAAAGAAATAAAGATGTCAATTGTTAAGAAAGGCCATTCTGTAAAAGTGAGTTTCCGGCAGACCTGATGCTAAGTGGAAGGCAGTTCAACACAGTAAAGGTATGCTATATTTAACAATCCTTTTGCTTGAGAACATTTTTGATCCAGGAAAGGTATTTTGATATATTTGTGTAGACGTTAGGAACATTTGGGTAGTCACAGTTCTTTCTCATGTTGAAAGACACGACACCAACAGCCTTCCCACTGCACACCAGAGGACCACCCGAATCACCCTGTGAGGAGAAGGAAGCTGAATTTGTTTATTCAATTTCTAAGACTAGAAAGCAGTGAAGCTAGAAACCAGTTGACACTTTCTATGAACAGACAGAAAACATACCTGACAGAATCCTTTGTTTGTGCCATATCCACCGGCACAGATAACATTGTCAGGAAGATTCAAGCCAATAGCAGCCCATTCTTTCTTACAGACCTCCAGGTTGACAAAGGGCACGTCCACCACTTGCAGTACATCAACAACTTTACCACGACTTTGAGTCCAACCCCATCCAGCGACACGGCACTTTTCCTTATCTTTTATTTTAATGTCAGTCTTGGGAAGTTGAGTTGGTTGAACTCTTTTGCCCAGTCGAGCTTTCTTAAACAGCTGGAGACGCAAAAGTGAAAAGCATTGGTATTATCATCCATCAGACCTCAGGTTTGAATTAAATTAAATTGAATGGAATTAAGAAATTTAAAAAAAGAATGCTTGAAGATGGAGTAAATGAAAGTGAAAAATGCATAATTTAATCTGAGACTGTTAGACCGATCTGACAATATCTACTTACTTTGAGAAGCATGATGTCATGACCACATCGTTCATTGTCAAAAAATGGATACCTGCATCTCTTTACGTTATATCTCATCGTGTCATTATCAACCTTCCCGAGATTGTGGGTGCCAAGAACAACACTTGTAGGATTCCTGAGGGAAAGATCATTGAGAAGTTGTCAATTGTTACAAATTAAATAAAACTGCAAAAATTATTACATCTTTATGCCACATATTTTGATTTGCTTTGTAATTACATGAATCAAAGATTCCAGAAAGAGGGGAAGTAACTCACTGGCGGTCACAGTGCGCAGCAGTGACCACAAAGTCTTCACTGATGAGGAATCCTCCACATACATGACCCATGTTGTTCTGCACTGAAGCCATAAACAGCATTAAGTTCTCTGGGGTCTTTTTACCATTTATGATTTCACCACCATGTGCTAAAAAGAAAAGAGGAAAAAAAAGATGAGTTAATGTAGCAGTTATAGACAAGAGACGTTAAACCAGATTTGATAATCTTACTGTTAAGTCCAAGACATGTCAGAAGATAAAAAAGCAGAAACTTGTGCAGTTGATGCATCATGCTGGGAGCAAATTCAGCCTGTTGTCTTTGGGGTGACAATACATGACCCTTATATACAGCAGTTTTCTCAGTAATCAACCCCGTGGTTTTTATCTGCTTCATCATGACTTCTTTAGCCGCATCCTCTGTGCATCAATGCAACCTTGTCTTGTAATGACGAGTGCCTGTGGTCAGTAAAATGAAACATTGCGCAGTGCTGATATTTTTACAGTAAATATAAAGGCTGCGGTTCTGCCTCAGCAGCCTGAAGCACATAAATACATTATGTGATCAGCATGTGATGAGTTTAACAGTCTGTGATTTTAACCCATTTACTCTCTGCTACATTTATTATTGTTCAATTATTTTTCCTCTTATATCTATTGCTCTCTGTCAACCTTTGTATTTTGTGATTTCTGGGAATTTTTAGATCTTCCTCTCTCACTGTTTGGATTCCACCAATCTACTTAGTTAGATAAACAAACCAAAAAATCTAAATTATTTTTAGGCGTAACCTTTGGGCTGTTGTTTTTTTGTCACTGTGATGTTGCACCAAAAATGAAATGAGTAACAGAAACAGAGCATCATGACTCATCTGTCAGTGTTTCAGTTGACCAAGTGGAACATGTACCACACATGGACCTGTATAATAAACTGACTGATGTTACTGAAGGCTGGCCCTAACAAGAATGTGACCCTCTGGTTGTTTATTAAATGGGAGAGGAATATGTGAACTGGAGGTATCTCTCAACATTTTTATGTAATAATTCCCACATAACAAGCACATAATGAGAAATGTTTTGAAAAGTGTAGAAGAGAAGAGCAAATTAATTTAAAACAGTACATTTATGTGGTGTGGTTGCATAATTTGAATGAGAAAATTGTAAAAATGTGTACAAACTTTTGTGTACAGCTTTAGTGTACAGAATCAGAGTCAAAAATCTAACTTGTTTTTTTTGTTTGTTTTACCCGTTTTTGGTTTCTGAATTCCAAAACGAAAAAAGACTAAACCACATTCAAATAGACCAAGGTACGTTTTAACCGTTTGGTTTTTTTTTGGTATAATTAACAAAGGCAGAAACCAGAAAGGTCCGTGTACGTTGTGATAGTTTGTTTTTTCGTTTGAACCAATAAACGGTCAAATGAGAAAACCACCCTTTTTTCGTTTGTCGTTTCAAACAAAAAACATGCAGTGTGATTACATGCACTATAATATTGTGCATTTATTCATGCAAGCAGCAGTCAGGAGTCACGTTTTTCTAAGTGCATTGTTTGGTGCAGTACAAATGGTAGACTAATATAGGTTAACCTAAGAAATGATTGTGTGTTTAGAGTTGTTACTGTCAGCGCTATGTTTTTAATATTAAATAAATATTTAATGTGTTTTCCACCGTCATGAACCAAGCTGTTCCCCCTTTCTACCAGCAGGTGGCAGTATTTAAATGAAGGCCTGTACTGTGTCTTTATTAAACGTTTTGAATCCAGATTACTGATATAGATGGATTTATTGTTGTTAATTTCATTTGGTTTGTGATATTTATGTTTTATTTGCAGCTTAGTTATGATCTTCATCATTCACCCTCAGCCCAGAGTTAAACCTGCATGCCCTTCTGTTCTAACCTGGTTCTAACACTGCTGTCAGCTTCTCAGCAGCTTTGACAACAAACTCACATCAGAAATGTCCTGTGTGTCATGCAAGTGAAGACAATCCATACAGGTTTTTCCATACAACATTTATCTTATGAGGTTCTCAAGAGCAGCAGGCCTGTACAAAGTCTAAAAACATAATGAAATTATAAAAGAAAAGGCTGCCAATGCTGAGAATGTCTTCTCAGGGCGTCAGTCAGATGTGTGAGGCCATATTTAAAATGTTCTGGCTGGCAGCTTTCTGCACAGTTAGCTTCAACTTTTAAAGGTTTTCCTCATCTAGGCCTATGTGTTGTTTGAATAATATATACATAAATGCCAATTTGTTTTTACTCCTAGGGGGAGGAGCTGCTCTCATAAAACATAGGAGGGAAGAACTGCGTGTTCAGGTCAAAGTTCAATTTTGAAGTTCAAGTTGAATTTTAACTTTGTTTTTTGTTTGTATTTGTTAGCATATAGTTGTACAATATCAGCCAGAACATTTTAAATGTGGCCTCAGAGGCCTAACTGACATCCTGAGAAGACATACTCTGTGTTGACAGCCTGTTTTTAATAATGTAATTATGGTTTTGGACTTCTTTTGAGGAACTCGTAAAATGTTTTTACCTCATGGCTTCAAAGTCAATATTCTGCAGCCATAGATTGTACATTCAATGCCTTTGAACGCATGTATTTGCTATACAGTGGGTACGGAAAGTATTCAGACCCCTTTAAATTTTTCACTCTTTGTTTCATTACAGCCATTTTCCAAAAATCAAAAAAGTTCATTTTATTTCTCAGTAATGTACACTCAGCACCCAATCTTGACAGAAAAAAAACCCAGAAATGTAGAAATTTTTGCAAATTTATTAAAAAAGAAAAACTGAAATATCACATGGTCATAAGTATTCAGACCCTTTGCTCAGTATTTAGTAGAAGCACCCTTTTGATCTAATACAGCCATGAGTCGTTTTGGGAAAGATGCAACAAGTTTTTCACATCTGGATTTGGGTATCTTCTGCCATTCCTCCTTGCAGATCCTCTCCAGTTCTGTCAGGTTGGATGGTAAACGTTGGTGGACAGCCATTTTCAGGTCTCTCCAGAGATGCTCAATTGGGTCTAAGTCAGGGCTCTGGCTGGGCCATTCAAGAACAGCCACGGAGTTGTTGTGAAGCCACTCCTTCGTTATTTTAGCGGTGTGCTTAGGCTCATTGTCTTGTTGGAAGGTAAACCTTCGGCCCAGTCTGAGGTCCAGAGCACTCTGGAAAAGGTTTTCGTCCAGGATATCCCTGTACTTGGCCGCATTCATCTTTCCCTCGATTGCAACCAGTCGTCCTGTCCCTGCAGCTGAAAAACACCCCCACAGCATGATGCTGCCACCACCATGCTTCACTGTTGAGACTGTATTGGACAGGTGATGAGCAGTGCCTGGTTTTCTCCACACATACCGCTTAGAATTAAGGCCAAAAAGTTCTATCTTGGTCTCATCAGACCAGAGGATCTTATTTATCACCATCTTGGAGTCCTTCAGGTGTTTTTTAACAAACTCCATGCGGGCTTTCATGTGTCTTGCACTGAGGAGAGGCTTCCGTCGGGCCACTCTGCCATAAAGCCCCGACTGGTGGATTGCTGCAGTGATGGTTGACTTACTACAACTTTCTCCCATCTCCCGACTGCATCTCTGGAGCTCAGCCACAGTGACCTTTGGGTTCTTCTTTACCTCTCTCACCAAGGCTCTTCTCCCCCAATAGCTCCGTTTGGCCGGACGGCCAGCTCTAGGAAGGGTTCTGGTCGTCCCAAACGTCTTCCATTTGAGGATTATGGAGGCCACTGTGCTCTTAGGAACCTTAAGTGCAGCAGAAATTTTTTTGTAACCTTGGCCAGATCTGTGCCTTGCCACAATTCTGTCTCTGAGCTCTTCAGGCAGTTCCTTTGACCTCATGATTCTCATTTGCTCTGACATGCACTGTGAGCTGGAAGGTCTTATATAGACAGGTGTGTGGCTTTCCTAATCAAGTCCAATCAGTATAATCAAACACAGCTGGACTCAAATGAAGGTGTAGAACCATCTCAAGGATGATCAGAAGAAATAGACAGCACCTGAGTTAAATATGAGTGTCACGGCAAAGGGTCTGAATACTTATGACCATGTGATATTTCAGTTTTTCTTTTTTAATAAATTTGCAAAAAATTCTACATTTCTGTTTTTTTCTGTCAAGATGGGGTGCTGAGTGTACATTACTGAGAAATAAAATGAACTTTTTTGATTTTTGGAAAATGGCTGCAATGAAACAAAGAGTGAAAAATTTAAAGGGGTCTGAATACTTTCCGTACCCACTGTATATGTTGAATAAATGTTGTATGGAAAGACTTGTATGGATTCTCATCTTGCATGACACAATGGGAATGTGTATATAGAAGAAAGATTCACACAGTATAAAGCACACTGGTAAATCATTCTTTTGGTCAGAAGCTGACAGCAGTGTTAGATCCAGGTTAGAACAGAAGGGCATGCAGGTTTAACTCTGGGCTGAGGGTGAATGATGAAGATCATAACTAAGCTGCAAATAAAACATAAATATCACAAAAAAAATGAAATTAACAACAATAAACCCATCTATATCAGTAATCTGGATTCAAAACGTTTAATAAAGACACAGTACAGGCCTTCATTTAAATACTGCCACCTGCTGGTAGAAAGGGGGAACAGCTTGGTTCATTACGGTGGAAAACACATTAAATAGAAATTTAATATTAAAAACATAGCGCTAACAGTAACTACTCTAAACACACAATTATTTCTTAGATTAACCTATATTAGCCTACCATCTGTACTGCACCAAATAATGTGTTTAAAAAACGTGACTCTTGCTGTTTACATGAATAAATGCACGATATTATAGTGCATGCAATCAACAGCTGTTGCTATTATTTATTTAATTTCACCTAACATCACCCTGGTATAACGTTAGTGCTGCATAATTTTACATATCTGACCGTTCTAAAAGATTGGCTTTTGTTTTAGTATCTATACTCTTACTTCCGGGTCACCTGGCTCACCGGTCTTTCTTTCTTAACGTCTATCTTCAAACGGAAAATGAAAATAGGAATTTCATAAAACTAAAATCGGACCATTATGTGAATTTGGTTTAGTCGTTTTTCGTTTTTGGATTCAGAACCCCAAAACGGGAGAACGGCTTTTTAATTTTTTTTTTCAAATGATGTAAACAGCATTTGTGTCATCTCAAGAAGTAAACGGGAAACTATATTTGAAAAGTTTTTATTTTCATTTTGCCTCTGCGTTAAAGAGACAAGAGCAACACAGACACAACTGTCCCTCCTGATCAACGTATGCTGAAGCAAATCTCTGTGTAAACCTGATGATACACGGGGCAACGTTTTGAGCAATCTTGCTGGTGGCCAGTCTGACTGTGTTTTGAAAGCGACGGGCGGAGTGAGTGGTGGAGTGGTGGAGTGGTGGAGTGGTGGGGGGAGAGGATCACGGTAGTAATCTTTACTCATTACCATTGACGGCAACATTGCTCTAAAAGTTACTCTGTGTATCATCATCGTAAACTTGTTTTATTTAACAGTTCTTTTCCTCAAGAATCTTGTTAATCCAGGGCAGGTATTTCGATATGTCTGTGTAGACGTTGGGTACATCTGGATAGTTGCAGGTGTAATTTCTGTTGAAAGACACGATACCAACTGCTGTCCCGTTGCACAGCAGAGGACCACCAGAATCACCCTGTGAAGAGGAAATATCATAACATGTTTATTCAAGATTATGTAAAATGTTCATACGTTGCTTAGACTAGAAACCAGTTGAGACTTTCTATGAACAGACAGAGAACATACCTGACAGAATCCTTTCTTTGTGTCATATCCACCTGCACAGAGAACATTGGCAGGAAGATTCTGCCATGTCTTCTTACAGACTTGTGGGTTGATGACAGACACATCCACCACTCTCAGGTCATCAACAACTGCACCACCAGTTTCAGTCTTACCCCATCCAGACACACTGCACTTTTCTCCATCTTTCATGCTAATTTCAGTTCTGGGAAGTTGGATAAGCTGTACTCTCTCGTTCAGCTGAACTGCACTAGACAGCTGGAGACACACAAATTTTTATTTATTATATATAATTATCGCATTTCAGGGACGTTTTTATTTTATACTGTTAGATTAGTTTTATCCCCACTGGGTTGAATTAATATATACTTGAGTGTTTCGCAAGGATCTTTGTCAAGTTGTGCTGTAGACCCCCGACATACGTGGTGTCGTCTTAGTCGCGGCACATTAATTTTTGCCTGTTTAGGATCGTCACTTTCTCCTTTCCTCTTTGACATTTTTACCGCTAAAGTTAATAAACTCCTGATTTTACAACAGCTACATTCAGATACTGGGTAACAAGACCATGGACAGGGCCCGATGAAATCTGTTTTATCTTTTCCCCAAATTCCATGTTTTACGTTTTAATTTTTCTGAATTTTACAATTTATAAACATTTTGTCATCAGAAATAATGTATTATCATGTGGTGGATAAATACAGTTTCAACAATTTAATAAGAAAATATTACAAATTGAATCAATATCAATGAATTTGATGTGTCATGCAAATATGTACATAGAAATATTCAAATACAAGTGCATTTATTTATGGGGACAATTCACAATTAATGCATTGTTACAGTAGGTCTATGTACTGTGAAATGTCCTATAATCAACAGGTTATTAAAAGGGTCCACAAAACAATGGTGGGGGAAACACTGTACCTTGAGGAGCATGATGTCATTCCCTCCACCAACATTCTCATAAGATGGGGGAATACACTTCTTTTCAATAGATCTCTCTGTTCTTGCAGACTTGAGATTGTGGGTGCCAAGAACAACACTTGAATGATTCCTGAAAAAGTTACTTGTGAAGTTGTCAATACATTTTCTCAATTTGTGCTAACAGCAAAACAACGCAACAAAATATATATTTCTTTTTCAAATATTGGGCTTGTATAACCAGAATGTTTTTTATTTGACTTCTATTTACATTAAATAAAAAACCAATTACTGGAAGAGGTAAAGTAACTCACAAGCAGTCACAGTGTGCAGCAGAGACAACAAATTCTTCACTTATAAGGAATCCCCCACAGACATGACCACGGATGTTCTGCAGAGAGGCCATATACAGCATCAGTTCTCCGGGGCTCTGTCCCCATCTATGATTTTACCTCTAAGTGCTGCAAATGTAAGTAAAAATCTATATTCAGTTAATGTCCAATTACATAGATGGAAGATAATAAAAAGATTTGGTAAACTTACCATTCTGTCCAAGACATGTCAGAACATGAAAGAAAAGAAGCTTGTTAAGACCCTGCATGATGCCAGCAAGTCAAGTGATTTGTCTTCTTGGGGGTGTGAAATGACCCCTTTCACAGCAGTTTATTCTGTTTTATCTTGAATTCTAACCACATCCCTTTTTGCATTGCAAGTTTGCATCTTTTGTGTTATCTTTGTATCATATTGTCTGTTTGTGTTATCTGGCAGTCTGTATGTGATGTACTAAACACAATCTGTCACATTAATTAATTCTTCCTCTTTTTTGATGGTTTTTGAATATTAACTACATTAACGTTTGAACACAGATGCAACACAAGATTATTTACTTCCAAATTTGTCACTGTGACCATTTGGCTGTTTTGGGTTTTGGTGAACAGACCACTCTATTAATCCATTCTTGATCTTCTTCCCTTGACTTCATTCGTAATTTGTTTTAGAGCAAAACCTGCATCCTTATCTGCTCTTGGACCCCATCTTGTTGAGGGGCAATTAATTCAAATCTAGCTTTGTGTTAAAAAAAAATTAACAAATTCATGAACTGATTAGTGCATTGTCCTGCATTGCCAAGACTACATACTGGCCTAAGCATTAAGTTCCCCGGGGCTTTTCTTCATGGATGATTCCAACCACAAGCTCTGACAAAACAAGAAAAATATTGTAGTAGAGTTAATGCCCTGTTTATAGGCCTAAGACTAATAATCAGAGTTTTCAATTTTATCAGTTTGTCCTAGACATGTTATCTGACCCTCAACCTGTCCTCCTGGTAGCCTGTTTGCATCTATATTATGATCTAAGCTCCGACCCTCAATGGCCACAACCTTTCTGCAATGCAAATTTGCAGCTTGTGATATCTTGGGTGATTATGGTATTTTTGATTGTGGTTCTGCTGTCTCAGCAGCCTAGTGCATGCTCTTAGATTATGTGTTCAGTATGTGATCAGGTTTAAGACAGTGTGTCAGATAATCTTCATGTAATCTTTTTCTCTGCACGGTTTGTGGCGTTCCAATTCAATTTTCAATTCAATTTTATTTATATAGCGCCAAATCACAACAACAGTTATCTCACAGCGCTTTTCATAAAAGAGCAGGTCTAGACCGTACTCTGTGATGTTATTTACAGAAGCCCAACAGTTCCCACCAAGAGCAAGCACTAGGCGACAGAGGCAAGGAAAAACTTCCTTTTAAGAGGCAGAAACCTCGAGCAGAACCATGGCTCAGGGTGGGCGGCCATCTGCCTCGACCGGTTGGGGTGAGAGAGAGAGAGAGAGAGAGAGAGAGAGAGAGAGAGAGAGAGAGAGATGTAAGGAGAGAGAGAGGGGAGGGAGGCAGCCTACACAATATACACACAGAGGTACACACAGTGAAGGTAATGTTGCTATAGACTAAATGAAAAATGGTACAGATATTTATAGTAGTGTTAATGGTAACCATCGTAATGTTAATGATTATAATAACAATAAGACTAGCAACAATAGTCGTTGCAGCAGAGGGTGTCGAGCAGGAACACGGGGGCAGCAGGTGACCCGCAGCCACAGCTCCAGACTCCACAGCTCCAGAGCCAGAAAACCTGCAGGAAGTGATAGGAGAGAGGAGAGAGACGAGAAAGCACAAGACTACCAGAAAGGGGAGAAGTTGTGTTAGTAACATGCAATAATGGGATAAGGTTGCATACAGAGGGAGAGAAAGTAGAGGAGAGAGGAGCTCAGTGCATCATGGGAAATCCCCCGGCAGTCTAGGCCTATATCAGCATAACTAAGGGATGGTTCAGGACTCACCTGAGCCAGCCCTAACTATAAGCTTTATCAAAGAGGAAAGTCTTAAGCCTACTCTTAAATGTGGAGATGGTGTCTGCCTCCTGAACCCAAACTGGAACCTGGTTCCACAGGAGAGGAGCTTGATAGCTGAACGCTCTGGCTCCAAGTCTACTTTTGGAGACTCTAGGAACCACAAGTAACCCTGCATTCTGGGAGCGCAGTGCTCTGGTGGGGTAGTAAGGTACTATGAGCTCTTTAAGATAAGATGGTGCCTGATCATTAAGAGCTTTGTAGGTAAGAAGAATGATTTTAAATTCTATTCTGGATTTTACTGGAAGCCAATGCAAAGAAGCTAAAACAGGAGAAATGTGATCTCTTTTCCTGTTCCTGTCAGAACACGTGCTGCAGCATTCTGGATCAGCTGAAGAGTCTTAATGGACTTTTTCGAGCAGCCTGATAATAAGGAATTGCAGTAATCCAGCCTAGAAGTAACAAATGCATGGACTAGTTTTTCTGCATCATTTTTAGACAGGATGTTCCTGATTTTCGCAATATTACGTAGGTGAAAAAAGGTCCTTGAAATTTGCTTAATGTGAGACTTAAACGACATGTCCTGATCAAAGATAACTCCAAGATTCCTCACAGTGGTGCTGGAGGCCAAGGCGATGCCATCCAGGGAAACTATATCTTTAGATAATGCGTCACGGAGGTGCTTAGGCCCCAGAGCAATAACTTCAGTTTTATCTGAGTTTAACATGAGAAAATTACAGGTCATCCAGGTTTTAACATCCTGAAGGCACATTTTAAGTTTAGCTAACTGATGAGTTTCATCTGGCTTGATCGATAGATATAACTGAGTATCATCTGCATAACAATGAAAGCTTATGGAATGTTTCCTGATAATATTGCCTAAAGGAAGCATATATAAAGTGAAGAGGATTGGTCCAAGGACAGATCCTTGAGGAACTCCATGAGTAACTTTGGCGTGCATGGAGGACTCATCGTTAACATGTACAAACTGAAATCGATCTGATAAATAGGACTTAAACCAGCTTAGAGCGGTTCCTTTAATGCCAATGAAATATTCCAGTCTCTGCAATAGGATCTGATGGTCAATGGTATCAAATGCAGCACTAAGATCTAATAAAACCAGTACAGAGACAAGTCCTTTGTCTGATGCAATAAGGAGGTCATTAGTAATTTTCACCAGTGCTGTCTCTGTGCTATGATGAGCTCTAAATCCTGACTGAAAATCCTCAAATAAACTATTGCTCTGTAGAAAGTCACACAGCTGTTTAGCAACTGCTTTCTCCAGAACCTTAGAGAGAAATGGAAGGTTAGATATAGGTCTATAGTTGGCTAAAACATCCGGATCAAGTTTGGGCTTTTTCAGAAGAGGTTTAATTACAGCTACTTTAAAGTACTGTGGTACATAGCCTGTTGATAAAGATAGATTGATCATATCTAGTATAGAGGTGCTGACTAAGGGTAGAACATCTTTAAGCAGCCTAGTCGGGATGGGGTCTAAGAGGCAGGTTGATGGTTTAGATGAAGAAATTATTGAAGTTAGTTGGTAAAGATTGAGGGAAGCAAAACAGTCTAAACATGTATCTGGTTCTACAGCTGTTTCTAAGGTTCCTGAGTTAAGAGATAAGTCGGTGCCAATTGAGGGCAGGTCTTGGTGAATTTTGTCTCTAATAGCTAGAATTTTATCATTAAAGAAGCTCATGAAATCGTAACTACTGAGAGCTATGGGAATACTTGGCTCAATAGAGCTGTGACTCTCTGTCAGCCTGGCTACAGTGCTGAAAAGAAACCTGGGGTTGTTCCTATTTTCCTCTATTAATGACGAGTAGTACGCTGCTCTGGCATTACGGAGGGCCTTCCTATAAGTTTTAAGACTATCTTGCCAAATTAAACGAGAATTTTCCACTTTGGTGGAACGCCAATTCCTCTCAAGTTTCCGTGATATTTGCTTTAATTTGCGAGTTTCAGTATTATACCATGGAGCTAACCGTCTTTGTTTTAGTATTTTCTTTTTTAGAGGGGCTACAGAGTCGAGTGTCATTCGCAGCGAGCCTGCAGCACTATCAACAAGATGATCGATTTGGGAGGGACTGAAATTAGCATAGGAGTCCTCCGTTACTTTGTGACTAGATAATGTATTTAGAGCTGATGGAATCGCATCCTTAAATTTAGCTATGGCACTATCAGATAGACATCTTGTATAGAAATTTTTGCCCAATGGCGAGTAGTTCAGCAATACAAACTCAAAAGTTATCAAACAGTGGTCGAATAAAGAGGGATTCTGTGGGAACACCACTAAATGTTCAATTTCAATACCATACACCAAAACAAGGTCGAGGGTGTGGTTAAAACAGTGAGTCGGTTCATGAACACTCTGAGAGAAGCCAATGGAATCTAACAAAGAGATAAACGCAGTACTGAAGCTGTCATTCTCAACGTCCACATGAATATTAAAATCCCCTACAATAATAACTTTGTCCGTTTTAAGGACTAAAGTTGACAAAAGCTCTGCAAATTCAGATAAGAATTCAGAGTACGGGCCAGGTGCTCGGTACACTATAACAAAAAGAATTGGTTGCAGTGATTTCCAACTTGGGTGCGAAAGACTAAGAACAAGACTTTCAAATGAGTTATAGTTTAGTTTAGGTTTAGAGCTGATTAGTAGGCTAGAGTCGAAGATAGCTGCAACTCCACCTCCTCGGCCTGTGCCTCGAGGAATGTGAGTATTAATATGACTGGGAGGGGTGGATTCATTTAGGCTAACATATTCTCCATCACCCAGCCAGGTTTCAGTAAGACCAAATAAATCAATATCATAATCTGATATTAGTTCATTTACTAGTACACCTTTAGAAGAGAGAGATCTGATGTTTAAGAGTCCACATTTAACTCTCCTATTCGTTTGCACTATTGCTCTTGTGGTTTTAATTTTTATGAGGTTTTTATGCATAGCTCCTCTTCTGTTTACCTTTTTAAATAATTTCGATGGTCAGGGGGCAGACACCGTCACTATAGGATTTTCACTAAGTAACTCCTGAAATGGAGGAGCAGAGAAGTGTGTTAGACTGCGACTCTGCGTAGGCGTTCTGAGTTTATTCTCAGAATTCTGACTTTAAACTCAGATATTCACATTTGGGCTTTAATGTTTTCACTGTTATAAAACTATTGCTCTAGTAGATGACGGAGATAAAACGATAAAAGTTATTACAGTCTTGACTTGGTGAAAGGATTTGTCATGTAAAGCAGTCAAATATTCACATTTGTTGGATTTACATTCAGTCAGTGCTTTTTCCCCCTATATTCAGATGCAGTTGTAACAAATGTAGCATTTGATACATATGAATGTAAGTTGTTGCCCCATGCAGTGCATTACAAACCTCCCTCAGTCTAAGCCAAACAGAGTCTGTTACCTTAAGAGAAAGCTGTAGCCCATGGTTCATCTCTGTCTGTCTACCATGCATGCTGCTGGAGTTAGTGGCCTTACAGGGCACCTAAGGCCACTTTAACCTACAACATCCTGTTTTGCTTTGCAACTTTGTTTTGTTGCCACAGTGGAAATAGTGCCACGTTGAAAGTGTCTCTGGATGTCTTTGGACCCGACAGAATCTTCAGAGATGATTAACTAAAAATCTGACAAAAAATCAGTGGTCACAAAACTCATTTCTTCTACAACCTTCATTGTGTCAACAAAAGCAAATGACTTTACAAGGGGCAATATTTAATTTTAATAATGTTAACTGATTTTGTATAATAAAGCCAACAGGGGCTGGACAGAAGTTCAAATCTTTACCTGAAGCAAATGAGCCAAAATAGTTTGAAACGACTGCATAAAGGAAGAGTTTGACATTTCAGGGACTATTATTTGCTTTGTTGCTGAGTGTTAAATGAAAAGATCAATTACACTCTAACGTCTAAGTGTGGTTTCATTGTTCTCATCTAATTGTCAGCAAGAAAGTGAATAAGTGTGTTTCCAAAAATGTCAAACTACTTTTAAGACAGGTTTTGGATTTAGCACTCTCAGAACCTCACCACACCTTTACTCTATGCAGTGTTGTTAGAAAACACTACAGCACATTCATTCTGAGAATAAGAACACAATTATACGTTCTGCATTAAACTTACCCTGCATTTCAGTTAAAGAGCAAGCACTTTCAAGTCTCCTTTCACCCTTCACCACTATACTAATCATTTTGCATGTTTCATATTTTTAAACTCACTTTTTTTGAAGCTGAACTGCATGTACTTTCTTGCCCAGTTGAGCGTGCAGAGATACACACAATCAAAAACATGAAAGTTTAAAACTGACAAGTACAGAGACTGAGAGAGGCCATTTTGTCTTTCTCTCAGATTTCTGACACTGTGTTGGACCGCCTCCTCTCCCTGCTTGTGGATACTACTCAGCCACTTCACTAAGTGAACCTCAGTTTGATGAGTTTTATTGGTGAAAAAAAAACACAAGACCAGTTGTCTTTGATGTGGATCTAAACAGCCCACATTCGTTTGAATTCTGTGACAAACTAGATGAACCACTGAAACCACAGTTTCTAGATTCAGGTTTAATCTTCAATGTTCTCGTGTCACAGTTAGGAAACTCATGCCCTGGTTAAATTCATTTCATTATTAATTGACAGCTGATAGTTTACCAGTATTCCCTTTTGGAAAGAAAACCTTATATATAGGTACTTATACATGTATATTTAACTTGCATTACATTTCTGTCTTCTGATGAAGAATATATCCACAGGAAATAAAATATTTGACATTCGACACTGAAGTTTTATTTTTCATTTCAGATAAAGAGCAAACATTGACAGAGCAACTTAACACAGCAATATCTCCACTGTATAATAATACTGTAATAATAATTATGATTATTATGGTTTTATTTAAAGAGCACTTTTCAAGCAAAAATCACAAAGTAATTTCCAAAGAAATAAAGATGTCAATTGTTAAGAAAGGCCATTCTGTAAAAGTGAGTTTCCAGCAGACCTGATGCTAAGTGGAAGGCAGTTCAACACAGTAAAGGTATGCTATATTTAACAATCCTTTTTCTTGAGAACATTTTTGATCCAGGGAAGGTATTTTGATATATCTGTGTAGACGTTAGGAACATTTGGGTAGTCACAGTTTTTTCTCATGTTGAAAGACACGACACCAACAGCCTTCCCACTGCACACCAGAGGACCACCCGAATCACCCTGTGAGGAGAAGGAAGCTGCATTTGTTTATTCAATTTCTAAGACTAGAAAGCAGTGAAGCTAGAAACCAGCTGACACTTTCTATGAACTGACAAATGTCAAAACATACCTGACAGAATCCTTTGTTTGTGCCATATCCACCGGCACAGATAACATTGGCAGGAAGATTCAAGCCAATAGCAGCCCATTCTTTCTTACAGACCTCCAGGTTGACAAAGGGCACGTCCACCATCTTCAGTACATCAACAGCTTTACCATGAGTTTGAGTCCAACCCCATCCAGCGACACGGCACTTTTCCTTATCTTTTATTTTATTGTCAGCCTTGGTAAGTAGAATCAGTCTTACTCTTTTGCCCAGTTGAGCTTTCTTAGACAGCTGGGGAGACACAAATTCACAAAGTGAAAATTAAAAACCAGCAAGGACCACTTTATAGCATAGATAGTATCAGACCGCAGGTTAAAAAGTAAAAAAAAAAATTGTCTGAAGATGGAGTAAATGGTGAACAATGCACGATTTCACCTAAGACTGTTAGATTGATTAATATCTACTTACTTTGAGGAGCATGATGTCACTCCCAGATGAAGGTTTCGAATAAGATGGACGTTTGCATCTCTTTACACTGTATCTCATTGTGTTATTATCAACCTTCTTGAGATCGTGGGTGCCAAGAACAACACTTAAAGGAATCCTGAGTGAATGATTATTGAGATGTTGTATATAGTTGTATCAACAAATAAAATAATTAAAATAAAATTTAAAAAATGAATAAATTTTAAGATTTGCTTTGTAATTACATGAATCAAAGACTGCTGAAATAGAAAAGGAAACCCACATTTTGTCATCACAGTGCGCAGCAGTGACCACAAAGTCTTCACTGATGAGGAATCCTCCACATATATGATGACCCATGTTGTTCTGCACAGAGGCCATATACAGCATTGAGTTCTCTGGGGTATTTTTACCATTTATGATTTCACTTCCACGTGCTTAAAAGAAAAGAGGAAAAAAATTAGTTAATGTAGCATGTATAGACAAGAGACGTTGAACCAGATTTAGTAATCTTACCGTGTAGTCCAAGACATGTCAGAAGATAAAAAAGCAGAAACTTGTGCAGTTGATGCATCATGCTGGGAGCAAATTCAGCCTGTTGTCTTTGGGGTGACAATACATGACCCTTATATACAGCAGTTTTCTCAGTAAGTTTTCATCTGCGTCACCATGACTTCTTTAGCCGCATCCTCTGTGCATTGCTCGATGCAACCCTTAAATGTCTTTTAGTGGTAAGAACCCGCGGTCAGTAAAGACAAGAACAATCATGCAGTGCTGACTTTTTTTTACAATAAATATAAAGGCTGCAGTTCTGCTGCCTCAGCAGCCTGAAGCACCTTATGTGATCAGCACATGATGAGTTTAACAAAGACTGTGATGTTAACCCATTTACTCTCTTCTACATTTATTATCATTGAATACATTTTTCCTCTTGTGTCTATGTCTCACTGTTTGTATTCCACTAAAATTCTTAGTTAGATGAACTGAAGTGAAAAGCAATCTTTTGTTACACCAAAATTAAAATGAGTAACAGCAACCACAGCTTCAGGTTTGAGAGTCGGTGTTCTCACAGTCACAAGTTATGTTATCATTGACTGAAAGCTAGAAGTCTAACAGAGCATCCTGACTCATCTGTCAGTGTTTCACTTTACCAGTGGAGCATGTTGATTGTAGTATAAACCTACTTTTACTGTAAGCTGGACCTGAACAAGTATGTGACCCTCTGGTCTGAAAGGTATGAATCAAACATTTGTATGTAATTATTCTCACATAACAAGAACATAATGAGAAATGTTTTCAAATTCCAAAGTGTGGAAGTAAGAAGAGAAGAGCAAATATATTTAAAAAGGTGCATTTACGTGGTGTGGTTTTATTATTTGGATGAGAAAATTAAGAAGATTAACTCACTTTTGCAGCCAGCCTCAAATATCCTCTTGCCTGTAACCCAAGCATTTCTTTGAACTGTGAGATAATCTTGATGAAGCACAGAAACCACAGAAAGTTTCCAGCTGCAAACTTGATCATTGATGTCTCCACAGTCACAGTTATGAAACCATAGCCCATTATCTTTTTAAAGACGTTTATTATGTAACAGATGGCAGTCTAAATGACGTCTGATGATGATATATTTGACCAGAATTGACATGTTTTTAGATGAATTTGCCATTTTGACTGTGGATCTCATAGGCTTTATGCAACATTATTTAATCTTACCCTGAGAGGTTTTGTGATTATTTGAAGAACCTTGGCTTTTAGCATGTACTGATGAAAAGTATCCCAAAAGGAAACACATTTTTCATTTGGCGGACAAAGCAGCTGACAAAGTGACTCAGACAAAGCAAGAGATCACAATTAAAAAACAATCTGTAATATTGTTACATTCAACATTTCTTTTTCTGGAGAATCTCTTTTATCCAGGGAAGAAATTTTGATATATCTGTATAGATGTTGGGTACATCTGGGTAGTTACAGTTATTCTTGCTGTTAAAGGAAACAACACCAACAGCAATCTTCCCCTTGTACACCAGAGGGCCACCAGAATCACCCTGTGAGAAGGAGGAAGCTTCATTACTCAAGATGTTTAAACTATTTTTAAACCACAAACCAGTTGGCATTTTCTATTGAAGGGCAGAAAACATACCTGACAGAATCCTTTCTTTGTTCCATATCCACCTGCACAGATAATATTGTCAGGAAGGATATTATGCCATGCCTTCTGACACTTTTCCAGCTTAATGATGGGAACATCCACCTCTTGCAGGTCATTAACAAGTTGACCACCAGTTCTTGTCAATCCCCATCCAGCTACTTTGCAGTTTTGGTTTTCTTTCAGATTTATTTGACGACTTGGAAGTTGAATTGGCTTAATTAGTACTTTTTTGCTCGGGCGAGCTTTCCTCGACAGCTGAAGACATTAAAAAAGAAAGTAAAAGTTAAAAACTTGCCACACCTTATTTCATAACATTAACCTTTTTCTCCAACAGACTTCAAGCTATGAAGCTATGCCATGAAGTTTGAATGTGGTATTGCATCAATATACACGGGTCAAACTTTTGGGGAGTTCAGGTTTTCCAGTAATTGGTGTTGCACACCTCTCAGGTCACAAGAGTGAAGAGCGCACTAACTTATGAAATTATGAAATCAAGAAGTGTTTTAATATATTTTTACTGTGGTAATTGTCTTGATGCAACACGTGTATTATTTTATTATTTTGACAGCAAATAAACAAAAAAATACTAACTTACATGTCTGTTGTATTATAACAGTAGAAGAAATAAAAAATGGCCTTGTGCCAAATTTGCCTTGAGCCAAGAAAAGCGTAGCCAGTGGGAGAAACACTACCTCGCATGTGTTGTGGCCTTCACAACACGAAAAGCAAACCCAAAAATCAGAAAACCTTTTTGAATAATGAGCTGAGAAGGGTCTATCTGCAAGTCTTGCAGTCTACACTGCATACCCACTTCACAAATCAAACACCCTGAGATAACTTCCTGGATTAAGATGCTCAGGGGACATTCGAAAGCATGTCCTGTAGTACTGTGCACCCAAAGATCTATTTGAGCTGGTAGAGAAATTGGCATATAAGTGTCTGATCATGATTTTTGAGTCCAGTATTCAGTTCCTCTAATATATAAATGTTAAGTTAAGCAAAGTAGCTGGTCTCGGCAGCAAGCACATACAGCAAGACCCAGGGGAAACATGTATCAGTCAGTCACCACCTGCACTGTTTTCAAACACTGTTTAAGGCTGTAAAGTTTTGATCACTAGCCCTTGTTTAGTAACATACGTAAAAGCCAAGTAGGCGGGAGAAGGTGAGGGACTTGGTCAGAGTGCGAGCATGTGGCCGCTTGCTGGAGGCAGCATGTGACAGTGTAGACCTAATACACATCGAACTCAAAAAAGAATCGGTACAAAAGGATTGTTCATTAATTTTTTTAGTGCTTGTGATTTATTTTATTGCTAGCTTTGTGATCAAAAGTGGTTGTTGCCCTGAATGGTTCTGACAGTCCTGTATTTTTGGTAGTTTTTTACATTTCCCCTAAATGACATGTTCTTTTATTTATTGAACCATAACATAACTTATTACGGTAAAGATGCATGATGTCACTTGGGACAATGAGGTTAAATAGATATCTACTTACTTTGAGGAGCATGATGTCATTCCCAGATTCAAGTCTCTTATAAGATGGGTGTTTGCACCTCTTCACAGTGTATCGCATTGTTTTATCATCAACCTTCTTGAGATTGTGGGTGCCAAGAACAACACTTGTAGGATTCCTGTATGAATAATTATTGAGATATTCACGGAATTATTTAATTGATATTTAGACGATTCAAAGACAGCCTGATGAGGAAAGGTAACTCACTTGTCGTCACAGTGTGCAGCAGTGACCACAAAGTCTTCACTGATGAGGAATCCTCCACATACGTGACCCTTGTTGTTCTGCACTGAGGCCATATACTTCATCGACTTCGCCTTGGTCTTTTTACCATTTATGATTTCACTCCTAAGCGCTAAAAAGATAACGATAAAAAAAGAGAACATTGTAATCAATGAAGTTCTCATTTGTAAGCTGGAGAATAATAATCAGAATTGGTGGTCTTACCATTTCCTCCGAAACATGTCAGAACATGAAAAAGCAAGAACATTTGGAGACCAAGCATCATGGCAGCTTCACTCAGCTTGTCGTCTTGGGGCTGTCAAAGACCCCTTCATGGAACAGTTTTTCTCACTAAGCAACCACATGGTTGTCACCTCACACCTTGACTTCTCCTGTCATATCCTGTCTTTGTTTGTGCATTTTCAACTGTCATGTACTCATGAATACACATGCAGTATTGCCATTGTTACAATCAATGTAGCAACTGTTTCTGAGTTACAGTAAACACAGCCTGTCAATGCATTCTCCCTCTACCTCTTTTGACTTTCAGACTTTGTATTTTGGACCTGCTCTCACTGTTTGGATACTACTTCTTGCACTGCCTAAATTTAATAAGTAAAGAAAATAGATTTAGATTTATGGTTCTATTTTCATCATCTGCTTTCTGGTTGTGAGCTTTTTGCTGTTGTTGGTTTGCTTTGAAAACAAGATAATTGCGCTTCCCCCGCGGGGCTCAGGGAACGGCTGCCGCCAGTAGGCTTGAGCCCCGCTTACAACTCCTTGCAGAGTCTTTCACACTCCGCCCCTGGCCTACATGCTTGCAGCAAGTAATGATTCAGCAGTAACACAGTTTTTTCCTCACACGGAAAAAAACGGAGCTGCCCCGATGGCCATGGTATAGTTCGCACACTGATTTCTTTCATACATCGTCATTTGACGGGTCATTTTGACAGGTGGATATGGAACAAAGAAAGGCATATTACTCACATCTGTTAATTTTTTTTAACTTGACCAGAATTGAACATGTCAAGTAGCCTACATCACATTCTCAGCAGAGAGGGCCAGAGTCTGAACAAATACTTTAATAGTTTAGAGGGTGCCACTCCAACAGGTTATGTCAAAGTTACACACACACACACACTCTTATACATGCATGCATTTTTATTTTGAGTTTTCATTTATTCAGTGTGTACAGAAACATGCAAGTGTTGCTACATTTTGTTGTCTCACAGTTGCACAGTTGCTGTTACTTAGGTTAGTACTTCATGATATCCAGCAGAGAGTGCCAGAGTTCACAAAAAGACTTTAAAAATTGCTCTGCCATTTGACCATCAGAGGGTGCTGCTTCTACCTCAGTGCAAATAAAAAGTGAAGTCACAAATTGAGCTGTCTGATTCCTAAAGACTTCTGTCTGCCTTAAATGCTTTATGTGGTCCATTAAAGTCAGCTCACTTTAAGCAGTGAGCAAGTCACCCCACTACAAAAACACGGGGTAGTGTATCACAGTTTGTGACGTTGAGGGTGTTTATTAAGTGGGACAATGATATGCGAAAAGGGGCCATCCTTCTTCTATGGACTGTACCCTAGCTGGAAATTAAACATTTGCATGTTATGATTCCCTGATTACAAAGTGTGAAATGGAGTCAGGCAGCTAGAAAATCTACAATGGCTATAATCCTGTGCTTTAAAGATATCAACATGCAAAAGAACCAATAGCCTAATATCTGATTACGTGGTGTGGTTCCATGAATTGGGTTCAAAAAAATCTAAATTTCTGATAAACAGCAACAACAAACAACAGAATCCTCCTGCTTTAGGGATGAAACATAAGACCTTGGAGCCTCAGAGACTCAGATCCAGATCAATTTGACTTCTCCCAGCTGCAGCCACTAAGTCTGGTGCTGAGGCTGGAGGAGCGCAGGACAGGATGGGAGAAATCCCTGCATGGTGATTAGGGAGCTACTGCATTGTTTTGTTTTTCAGCTTATTAGTGGTTCTTTTAATGTAAATGTCAGTGGGGTTGAGATTGATCATTCCTTGCTGTCTCTTCTCTTCAGTCATCATATTTGACAACTCTTTATTTCTGAATTTGATGTGGTGGACAGCCTCTGTGTTCAAATAGAAAATCTGAATGAATACCATGCGTGATTATGTCACTGTGACTGGATTTATGAGCTGCTCTGTCACATTGAGTTATTATTACATACAAGATAAAACAGTTTTTCTGAGCCACACGTTTGTTGTGAAACCATAATGTACAAAGGCATTGAGCCAGGGGGGATTTGTCATTGGTTTGGCCCTTGACTTTGGCCTGGAGTTAACCTCACAACTTGTCTAGACATTGCTGTCTTGTTAGAATGTTTTTGCCACATTTCACTTTTTCTGTTTCACATTCTGTCTACATGTGCTATGGTACAGAACAAAATACACATTATATACAGCTTTTTTTAAAAGCCCTAGTTTTAGCCAGGATTTGAGTGGAAGATTGTTTCCTTCTGCTGGAGTGGACATAGCGTCCTTTAGTTTTCCAGGCAGCGTCAAGTTCTTTCTCCTACACGATGACAGACATTTGTGTGCCTTGCTAATTGTCTGATATGGCCCGCAGGTATTTATCCAATTAAAAGCATCTGGCCCCCTTTATATTAACCCTCATTGCAGGAAAAAGAAAGCAGATGTTTGACAATTTAAATTTAGATTTTATTGCTTTTAAGGAAGAACATCCACCTGTGATACTTTGTATTTAAAAAACTGCAGTGTTGAAAAAATATCGTCATGCATGCAGTGACAAAACACAGAGTCTGTCTGGTTTCACAGGCATGAAGAATTACTTCACACAGCGGGCTTGAGGGGCAGGGTGGATAGGCTTTGGCACAGCTAACACTTTGCATGAAGCAGCACTGACTTTGGTCTTTTCCAGTCACTTACAGCCAAAGACAACCTCATGATGTTGACTGGGACGTTGGCCAACATGTGGATGGCCTGCCTCAGCTGGCCAAACTGTATAGGAGATGGTCTGTGCCCCCTCAGGCTGGCACAAACTTTTCAGTGATCTTCTTCATACATTCATAGATTATTGTACATTCTCATTTTTTGATGAAATAAAAATAAATACTAGGTTCTTCTCTACAACATTTAACATTCAAGATTAGTTATGTTTGATCCACCTTAATGTATGTCTGACATTATTACATTGCTGTATTATGTTAGGCCCTTGGATGACAAGTTATAAAGATATGATTGTTGCAGTGCTGGGTGAATGAAGAATAGACCCATTTCTCAAAGTGTTCTTATTCCATATTAAAAAAAAGGCTGTCAAAAGTGCCATGAGAAAATGGCAAAGCATTTGTTTTTACTGCACTTCGTCCATTATTATATTACCTTTTCATAGCACATCACAGTTGAGAAAAACATTATTACTTAATAAGTGATCCTGCCGCACTTACTAATGATGTTTTTCTCAACTGTGATGTGCTATATGTGCTTGTCATCATTTTTGTCAGCTATTTAGCTCTGTTTACCACCTATGTCTATTCTGTATACATAGTTGTTACTCCCTTGTTTTCCAGTCTGTTTCTTCCACTGAACCTGCATTTAAATACCTGTATGAACCAATAAGTCTCCATTGATTCATACAGCGAAATTATACTGTACTTTGCAGGAAGTTACTCCATAAGTTGCGGGGAGTTAGGCAGTAAATTGTGGGCTGTATTACAAAGTGTCTTGCCAAGAGTCAGATGAGAAGATAGATACCAATCTCTCACCTGTACACTTAAAAAAAGCTGCAGCCAGCAGCTAATTAGCTTAGGTTAGCATAAACTAGAAGCAGGGGGAAACTGCTGGGCTGGCTCTGTCCAAAGTTTAAAAAAGAAATCTGCTTACCAGCACCTCTAAAGCTCACTAATTAACACATTATATCTCATTTGTTTAATCTTAAGTCTCAGCTGGTTGCTCTACAGCCTCAGATGCCAGGAAGTTGCTACTTCAGGCCAAAAAGTTTTTGCTCACAACCGCAACTCGTCATTTTTACACTTTGGTCTATATAACTTAAATTATACAATGTGTTAATTAGTGAGATGTGCTGATAGGTGTTTTTATACCTTTGAACTCAAGCAGGCTAGCTGTTTCTCCCTCGTTCCAGGTTTTATGCTAAGCTAAGCTAACAATCTGCTGTGTCTTCTTGCCTAACTCTTGGCAAGAAAGCAACTAATCTATTATTCTGTTGGTATTTCCATTCTTTTCAATTGCCTTTTTTGGGACCACATTTTGTGCTGGTGCCATAAAACTGAAAATATTTTGGACACCTGTGCCACCAATATAACAACTGAGTCTAATCCACACTGTATAATATATAATAATATATTTTTTCTTTCTTGTTTGCCCACCCATATTAGATTACACATATTCACTTTCTTTGGTTTTCCTCTTATCCATTCAGATTCACACAGTCATCCCTCCGTCCATCTTGTCCCCCGGTGTCTGGCACGACTGCAGGCATCCAGAGAATGCCTGACATGGGGTTTGGCCGGTCGGCACCACATACCTGCAGTGTGGCATGGCAGGGCTTTAGGGGAAATATTGCACATGTGCCACTCAGCAGCCCTGTCTAATGTCCAGTAAGTGGCTTCAGACATGAACACTAATCCACTCAGTGATGAGAAGACCTCAGTCTGATGGCTGTGCTGCCAAGACTGTCTAAGCATCCTCTCAGGTTCAGACAGAGCACAATGGGGACAAACTCTGGCTTAAAAGGGGATCATTGCAACTTCAATAAAATTGTATTTCTTTTGCAGGTATTTCACTGTGATGAATCAATGTGTTCATGCGTTTCCTCTCTCTTTATGAAATATTTATTTTCAAAAGGAGACACAGATCGGTGAACTCTGTCTTTGCTCTCATATGAAACTGAAGACAAATGAAAAGACAGCATGTGAAAATGATATCTTTGCAAAAGTTACAGTTACAGATACAGCTGCAAAGTGGTGAAAATCATCTCATTAAGACAACAAACCCTTAACCTCTTAAACCCCGAAATTTCCGTTTCGTTCCCCCTAAGCCCCAAAGTTATAAAAACAGTTTTTACACTCGATTCATGACTGTGCCATTACTTACTAAGTAGAAGTCTAGATGTAATTTGCCTAATGAAAATGCACATTTTTGTATATATTTGGTATCTCTGAAAAAGAACAGTTTTAAGAGCTTGAAAGCTAAATTGTTGAACATACATTTCTTGAGGGTGTGAGGGATTCTGATGTTCGAAAGACCCGAAACACCACATGACCTCAGGTAACATCACTGATGATGCGCCCTAGTTTTGCATCAGAAGATGTTTCTTTAAAAAATAAAACAGACATTAAAAAGCTAACTAGAAATGGACAGACCATCAAACACCATGTGTTTGAGAGTGTGCGTTTGTGTGCGTTTGTGTTGAGGTCAATCCTTTTTCCTCTCATCTGTTTATGAAACAGATTATTTTCTTCTGTGTGCGCCACCCCAGGCGAATATATGACTATTCCTGCCGACGTACATCTTTTTCTTGACCTTGCCATTGTATCGCCTCTAAAATTCACCTCACATTCTGTCTGAACACAAGGATCAGATGCATTGACTTGTGTCCAGAAGATCAGAAATATAAAATTGTAGTCACGTATAAGTCACAATTGTCATACCATTAAAAACATTAAACATTTCAAAACAAAACATTCAGACGGATTCTGCATATTTTTAGATGTGAGTTGCTGTATGAAGATAGAAACTACAACAAATAAAAGGAAAGCTACAATTTTTTTGCACCACTTAGCCCACCACGGAAATGAGAATGCATACAAAATCTTGAAGAAGTTCTGTATTCACATGAATTTGGTCATAAACATAGTGTATACCTGATAACCATACACATACATGCACACATGCTCGCAAACTCACATTCATCCGTCGTCCACGCTTTAGTCCATCTATTCAGCATTATAACTTGGTCTGTTTTTGTAACAAAACAAGGCCTAATCCTAAATTCAGGGAGCTGTGAATGTGCCTCAACAAATGGCAGACAAATGAGAAGGATTAGCGAAGGCCTGTGAAAGAGTGAAAGGTTTGCCATTGATCTACGGTGGTCCTGTTCTCTTTCAGGGCCACTCGGTTTGAAAACCCCACTGAGTAAGAGCATACAGGGCCACTCCAGAGCCCCCTAGGCCACCGAGAGACACACAACAGCCACAATTAGTCTCAGGAGCTGTAATGGCAATTCAATAAGCGCTTTAAAATTGTGCCTTAGTCCGTCTTCCACCCCCCAACCCCTCCCATTTTCGTCTACATACATAAGATTGGTATTATGAGTGGCGAAGGGCTCTTTTTTTCTTTCCCACCCACCACAGTTCTTTTCAGTCACTGTGAGAGAAAATGACCACACAGGGTTTCAAAGGTTCCAGAGGCTGTGGTTTGTTGTCGCTGAAGCAGCATGACTTGTGCCCCTGTAGATTTTGGCTAAGGCCGTCAAAATGGGCTTCTATTATTACTTTTTTCTGTCACTCAGCTGCAAATTAATTTCGAAGTAGTGAAAGTACCCCTCTCTGTAAACATTTCCATCAAATTCAGATGGTGAAGACGAGCCTTTTGCAGAAACATAAAAACCTGCTGTGCAGCCTGCCAGGTGCTATCTGACAGACATTTTAGCAACAACATCCTTGCATGACTCACTCTCTCAGTCCTTTGCTTACACTGATCAGATCAAACACAGCCCAAACACCTGTGCTCCTGACATCAACACACCATGGCAGAGGAGGAGCTGAGGATGTCTTCTGGATGGCTGTCACTTCCATTCTCCTGGGTTCTCTTTGGGACATTCCTCGTTGATTTTGCACAGTGTTTAGGTTTTTCCTTTTGCTTCATGATCAAAGGCCAAAGCTTTTGATCAGGACTTCCAAAGGATCCCTCTTGTTTTGCTGGCGAGCGCACTGACAGGACAGTGGTGGAGCAATGATAATTACAGCTCCCATTTGGTGTCCCTGGAACTGGCACCATCAGCCAGTCGCACCCTCAGGCCAAGAAGAAAGGAGAGATTCTTGGACAGTTAAAAGAGGAGAGCGGAGAGGTAGAGGAGAAGAGACCGAAGACACACTGACAAAGAGGCGAGTCAATCGAGAGAACAGGCAGAAAATGGGATTACTTTGTTCATGTTTTAGTGTGTCTGTGCCAGCTGAGGTTTGGATAACAATCATATGTTCAGAGACACCTGTAAAACTTAAGGGTGCTGTATTCAGCACGGCTGTATGTATTATTTTACAACATGAAAGCAAAAAAGCTATAATATTATATAATCTATATTTTGTCTGTTGTATGAAACATATGAATAAAACTTAAAGGAAAGGTTAAACATTTTGGGAAATTCACTTCGCAGAAATCGCTTTCTTGCCTGAGTGAGATTAGAAAATTGATACCACTCACGTTTTGAAGCTTCCAGCAGCAGCTGGATAACTTAACTTAGCACAAAGACTTGCAACATAGGGAAACTGCTATCTTGCTCTCCTCTGGTTGCCAGGCCAGCTGTTTTAATACTTTGGTATAATAAACGAGATATATTTTAATTAGTGAGCTTTAGAAGTGTTGGACAGAGCCAAACAGGCTGTTTCCTCCTGCTTTCAGTCGTTGTGCTAAGGCGGCTGCTGGTGGTAGCGTCATAGTCAGCGGACAAACATTAAAGTGGTATTGATTTTCTCAGGGTAACAAAGCATAAAAAAATATTTCCCAAAATGCCTAACTTTTCCTTTAAATGCCATGGCTATATTTTACAGTAACAAAAGGAGAACAATTACAAGTAGTCTTGTAAATGAAAGAATCCCACAAAGGTGCACAGCTGAGGACAAAGACATTTGCATGGCAACAGTCCTGCCAGACCCCCCATACTGGTATTTGTGCGCTGCACCCAGACCTTTGGGGCTGAACTACAGTGTGACTTCACGCCATTCTGACCAGACATGTACCCCGTCACAGTAATCTCATATTATGACAGGCTGAAAGGTTGGCCTTTATTCACCCCAAACAGCCACTATTCATCCCGACTCTCCTTTCTGTTCACTGAAAAGACCAAGTGGCCTCCTGTGCCACTGGAGGGCTCGTCTGTGTGTAAATGACCTTGATGCTCGGTTGCATAGTTCATAACCGCAGACCTTTCATCAAACACAGGGAGGTCCTCCACATCAACGCCTCTCCTGCTGTGACTTTGGTCATTATTATGATGAGGAGGGGGATTATGTCGGAGAGCTCTGATGGAGATGTTACCAACACTTAACAATCAGTGTCACACACAAGACAAGAATAAAATGAGATTTTTTTTGCTCTTGATGATTTAAAATAGGCTTGCTAGCACAAGGGAGAGAGCCATGACTCATGATGTATCCACATTTTTTATTGAACTTTACCAAACTCAGCATGGGCCAAGGCACTCAACTGATTTTACTTTTGCTGAAATTAATCTAAAGACATTAGAGATGTTTGTTCTGAGACTACAACCTACTATTACTGGCCGATGGCTAGCTGAAAGCTGTTGATCACAAATGTACCAATATCCAGTAGTAATACCATACAAAATGAGCTGAATATGGACTTGAATGCGGTTACTTTTTCCCCTTCTTTTTTAACATTATGACTACATTTCCCACACAAAAGGTCGACAATAACAATAAACATCGACTTCAAACAGTTAAAGAGTACAAAATGTTTTAAATATATTAGATGTTCTATTAGCAACAGCCTTGTTGTCAAGAAAATGTTTGCAAGACTTGACATAGAGGCAGTCTGAAATAACAATTTACTACTGTGTACGAAATGAATGAAGTTTCTGCTAGTGACATCTGGTGTACCTATGGTTGCTATAATGTATTAAATGACTCAAAATGTATATTATTATTTCACGACTCAACTAAGGAACAATAATCAGAGACTAGATGATACTGATTTCTAATCTATTAGCTGTGGGTTGTTGAATGGGAGAAGCAGTGTGACAGAAGCATGCACAAACATACAAAGGTCATTTCAGAAAATCCAGCATGTCATCCCAGTAGTTAGCTTAGTTTCTGTTGTGATTTTGTCATATGTAGACATATACAGACAGAATAGTACATTTATTAATGTGTGTAGAGATTTTTATCTCATCTGTACAGTTGGGGTGTAGATCAGTGTCTCTTATCCAGTATGTGTCAGTACAGTTTAATTTTTTTGTATTTGTTTATTTATTGTTGTTGGCCTAAAAGTAGCCAGATTTAGCCTTACAAAAAACAACACCTATCAAACGTGAATTTCTAAGTTGTCTACATTGTCCAAAAGCCACATTATGTGAATTCAGTGAAATGCTGTTTTACATGTGATAAACCATTTGATGGTATGTGAATTTATCATTTTTGAAACAGTGTTGCACATGTAATATTAAATGTATATTTTAGTTATGATGAAGTTATTTTGAAGTTTAGTTATCATACATTTTACATGTGAGTTACACAGAAATCACTGGTGGACGGTATGATGAATTCACATTGGCTTTTTTGTAAGGCTAAATATTTTATAACAAGTCTAAATAATGTAAGTTTTAAATTGTAGAGTGTGACATCCCCTCCTCCAAAAAGCCTCCCAAAAATACTGAGGACATTATCTCTGTCATCAGTGGTAGCTACAGCCCTGATTTGTAGCTATTTCAAAGATGCTACTTTTTTGTTTTAATCTTGTCATTTATCACAGATGGAATAAATATTTTTTTTTGTGTGTGCCAGATGCTTCCATTCCTATTTAGCTAAGTATCTGAAATAGGCTAAATAACAAACCAGTGAGCCACATTTTGTTGCTTCCAAGTCTTGCTGTCCCTTTTTAAATCCTCTACAGTATCTTAAAGTCACCCAAATACCTCTTTACATGCAGTTCAGACACACAGACAGATACTGTAGCCAGACAGATGCCTGAAGATAGTAGAATTCTACCGTATTGGACTGTATTACTGAACATCATTAGAAAATAGAGAAAATAACTTAAAAGTACATATTATACTAACTCTACAAATGTTACAAACCTCAACAAAAGTTCATTTATGTGACAGGAGGATGGAATAATAAAAACAAAGATCGCCATCCCGGCATCCTGGTGTGAGGAGGCAGGTGAGCCAGCCAGTTGCCGGTCAGAGTTCAAACTTGGGTGGCTAGGAGGGGAGCATGGGCAGGAAATGAGTAGAAGGGTGCCTTCGACGAGCCTTGTGACCTCGCCGTGGCTTCCCCCGGCCGTTCAGCGAAACAAACATCTGCCTGCCGCCGTGCTTCCAGCGGAGTGAGGCATATGTGTTGTAGCCGTTCTCCTCAATGCGCTCCTTGAACTTGCAGCTCGGGTTGTACTTCACCTGCGATCAGAGGGAGGAAGACAGAGACCTTGAGGAGGTTACAACAGACGCGTATTTTGCTAATGGCTGACTGCTATTCCTGCTGTGCGATGCTAGGCCAGCTTCCAAGAAGTGCACAAAGGTTAATGTCTGCTGTTGCAGTGAAATATTTTCCAGGTGTTTGTAGTTGATGGGGTGAGTTTTTCATCATAAAGTATTTAGCTAGTTTGTCTTTCTATGACCACAATGGAAGATTTTAGTCTAGAATTAAAGGGTTTGGTTCACCCAAATTTCAACAAAAAACTATATCTCACTCATCCCTTACCCCTTGTGGTGTCTATAGCCATGCAGATAGTTTGGGGGTTTTGAGATATCCACCTCTGAAGCTTATTTTTTCAACCCAAAGCCTATGTCAGTGGAATTTCATTTGTGCTGCTCACAGCTTTGAAATAATATATCTTTCCAGAAACAATGTTCTGGTTACTCGCAAGAATCTACAGGCCTCACAGTTAAGTTTTCATTGGGACCGATCTCTGAAAACTGATCGCTGACTGAAACTGATCACAATGGGGCCTGTGAAATATCCTGAGTAACTGGGGCATTGTTACTTAAAAGAAGCAAATAAGCTTTTGAATGTCCTTCTCTATTGGTTTCAGTACCACAAACAAAGCTTAAAACCGCCCAAATACCTTGCAATTCCGCACATAAAGCAATTGATAACAAAGTTATAAAAAAAACAACCTTTTCAATCAACATCAACACTAAATTACATTATCTGTGAAGGTATTTCAACAGTCAGCAAAGCCACTTTTCCATGGGTGGCTGCCATTTCTTATAATTTAGTCAAAGAGTCTTGAAAGATATTGTAGTGACAAGAGGTTCTGCTACATTCCCTTTTCCAGATCGTTATCATGCTGCCATAATGAGCCCCTGTCTGTGATAAAATCAGGATAGTATGAGCCTGGCGTGATTCACCTGCCTTTTTTTTTATTATGGGTCGTTTCAGAGTTTAGGAGGGGCCTGGGTCTTCAGATCTGTTTATGTCCTGTTTACTGTGTTAGCTTGTTGAAGGGACTTGTCTTATCGCTGCTGCCGAGTGATTGCGTGTCCCTGATTTCTCCTTTTCCAAGTTGTAAATACATGAGCTAGACACCACACACCTCAAATATGAAGTGTGGCTGATTTTAACAAAGCGAGGTGATAACCTTTGAAAGCTTGCTGTTTGAAACAACAATTGGAAGAAGGCACGCAAAGACTTTTAAAGGAGCCCAGCTGGTTCTTTGTCATTGCTGGTTGCGTTTCTCTTCTCTGCTATCTATTTTGACAGTGAAATAAGCCAACTTAGGCTGCAGGTATCGTCAACCATGGCCCAGGTGTACAGCCATGATTGATTTTAACACTGACCTTTTATGGACTTTCCAGCAGAAGATTCCTGACATTTCCCTTTTACTTCAGCAGAATCAAACATGTTTGGGTAGGCACTCATTTGAGACCCCTATACATATAAACCTCCCCTACCCTCTCTACCCTCTTTCCCTTCCCAGCCCTCCCATCTTGACCTCCAGAAACAATGTCGCCAGGTAGTATACGCACCGATCCAAAGAGCGTGCCTTTCTTGGACATAGCTAAGTACAGCCCGGTGCTGACAGATTTGATGGCAACAACTCCCACACTGACAGATCGGATTTCCATCAGGCCTGGAAAATAAAAGAGGGAACAAGAGTCTGGGTTAGAAACATCAGGCTTTGGGAGTTTCCCCATCAAAAGCCACTCTATCATTAGCTATTAGGATACCAGACAGCCATATGCTCTGGGGAGAGAGAGCCAAAGACAAGAGAAAAAAAACACACTCATACACAGGACACACACAACGGCCTGAGAGAGCTTCCTTTGTGGGAAGACCAGGGGTGCTTGGGGCATTTAGAACAACAGGTTAAAGTTTGTTAGTATCCAAAAAGGTGGGGAATTATTATTATTATTTTCTCATAGAAGCTTAATTGAACAACTGTCCCTATGCACTCCAGTCACAGTTTCACTACATAATATTTGGACACACACATACACAGTGTCTAAGCCTGCACAGTGTCATTCTGACTTGCTGCTTCCATCCATTTGAACCTCCTGACTCCAGATGTGACACTCCATCCTGATGATGCCCAGTGTTGTTTACTGAGGGACATAAAACCCTTGTCTGCTGGCCACTTAAGCAACCTCTCCAACTCACTTCACCCCATGAAAAAGCTGGCAAGCTGGTGAGCTAATTGTTTCCTCTGGGCACTGATTGCAAACAAGTCCCATGTGTTCACTCTTGTTCTGGTTTTTGTCTGCATGCAAAAATAAAGGCACACACCCATTGTCATGTCTACTGCAGGGAGCTGTTTTGGAGATGACCTGAGGGCTTACCACAGGGCCCTGAAAGGCAGCTAATTGCTGGAGATGAATCTCTCAATTTTTCTGCCTTTTTTGCATACTTACACAGAAAGCACCCTGATGTGGTCCACTATCTGAGCATGAAATCTTATTTTTACACCCTTGAAAACCAAGTCTGTGCCAAGAGAGAAACATGTAATGTTGTTGCTCAAAGGCTAGGCACTGCTGGATATTAGTGAAAAAGGATTGTTGGCTTTGGACAGATACTGTAAACATAGCACCAGATCAAGGTGGTGAAGGACAAGGTGACCCAAAGCTGGTAGGAAATGAAGGAGTCATAAAAGCAGCAGCGGCCTGGCCACCCAAATGACCAACACTCAGCTGTTTCGGTACAACTGCAAGTCTTGTACAGGGTAGTAACTGAGTTCCTGAGCTGTCTCGCTGGTTAAACCCATCCAGCAATGAAAAATAAACGCTCACAGCGGGAGGTTCGCAGGTGCAACTCCTGCTGCACTGTAGTTGGGTTTTTTTTAACCTATTTATTTGTGCAAATCCAGATTTTGTTTGGAAGGAACAGTAAAGCTGAACTTGGCCCACAGGTTTGACTTAATATGTTTTTGGATTAAATAATGAGTTACATATTTGTTTAAGACCAGACTTTAAGGGATAGGTGCACATTTTTACAAGTTTATCTGAATATACAAGTCCTCCGAAATGCCCTCTAGCGCGACACATAGAAGAAGTTTCTGATTTGATGCCTGTCTCAATAGTACATTGTCTGTGCTTTCCAAAACTGTTACAAATCAAAATTTAGTTTTATCATGTGACAATGACTTTGGTAAAGACCATGGTTCAGGTCAAAATAAGCACTTAGTAAATGAAAAATGAATTTATGGTATGGGGGCTAGGTTGTCATGATTACAATTATAAACACTAGGTTACCGCTTGGGAAGGGTCTTGCTTAATAAACAAAAAATGGTGACTGTTGGATGGAAATGGGACACGAACATCGTTTTGTTGACCCATCCATTTATCCCGACCTCCTTCCTCTGCAGTCACCTGACTTCCTCCATTACTCCTGTCATAATTACTACTGCCACTAGAGGGCTTTGTCATTTGAATTCTAAAAGGACTGACGCTGTTAGACTACTTAGTTTCTAGCACAATGATGCCAAGAGTTTCGCCCATATCTAATACCGTTAAGAAAGGATCTCTTTACAGTACAATATTTAGAGCAAACAAAAACTGTTTCAATGTACATTTGGGCAACAGCATAATACATAATCACATATTCTGATAGCACGCAAAGAAGCTACTAATTAACTTATCTCTACATGACGGCTGCTAAGATCATCAGACTACTGTTGCTGGTTTCAAAGAGCATATCCGAAGGGCCCCAAAAAACACACATCTGCTGCCTCCATCACTCTAAAAACGCAACAATCACAACCTTTTTTCTTTTCAGTTCTGAACATCACCAGTCATGCTTAACCAGTGAGGTCATCTACTTTAGGCAGGGACACAAAGAAGTACAAAGAGTAAAAAAGGAGGGGAGAAAAGATGAGGAAGGTAAACAAACACAAACTCCTGTTGAGTGTCTTTGTTCTCTGACAGGACCGTGTAAATGAAGCCCTCTCTCCGCTCGCCACAGCTGCAGGGAAGGAGGGAATGCCTCAGACGAGTCCATCCAGGTATCAGCCCAGCTGCACCCCCATCATTGCATTGCCTCTGATCCTCTCAGGAAACATTAACACTTTGATGGCAGCCTCCTCTTTACGAGCTGTATTTACAAACAACGGGTGCGCTACGGTGGCACCTGGAGCGTGCAAGGGGCTCATAAGCAATTAGCTGAGGCTCGACTGGTGATTGGAGCACTGCAAGGATTTATGGGGGATTAGTCCAGGCCAATGAAAACCGCTGGTGCCTGAAAGTGGTGCCAGCAGTAATTGCCATTATTTGCTGGTTTGAGTTCCAGGCACAGTAGGTGTGTTGGAAGGATGTTTGTCACATCTGAGACATGAAGAGTTGGCCATGAACAGTAAAATGTCAGGTTTGACAACATTTAGTACTAGAAAACAGACTTAAATAAATATAATTCTGGTGTAAGAGTTGTTAATGTACAAAAAAATTGAAGTAAAATTAAAGGAGACTACTAATATTAGAAAAGCAATAATTGCATAAGGCAATAAAAGTCATGTCTATAGCACATTAAATATTTTAACTTTCTCTCTTCCGGTCTCTGATATCTACATGTCATTTCATTCATACATGTTGGTGTAGCACCCAGCAGACACAAAAGATCTGAGCACATGAAATGGGGATTTCACATTGTCTGGAGGAATCACTTGGACTCTGGACGCTTGACCACACATCTATAAAGACCAGTTAGATCCATATAACTCACAGTCCCCCCTTTGAAAAGTCACTCCATTGTGTTCAAAGCCTGAGAAATCAGAGTGAGGTATTTCAAGCTATTAGAGGGGTTTCCTAACTGCTGAAATCCAAAGGTCATTTTACTGGAAGGAAGGCTGTATGCTGAGTTTTAGCCTCAAAACTGCATTGTAATATTGATAAAGTTTTGTAGAAATATACATGTTTGACTGAAACTGTTACATTATAAAGGTCTGTTAAAGGTTAAAAGCTGTACAGAGACTAGATTAATGGTGGTTCTTGAGAAATCCTAAAGCAATTTATTAAAATTGGAAATCATGACTTCTTAGCCCCTTGCAAACCAAGGGGCTAATCATGTTGGATATATAGGCCTGTCTCTGAATATATCTAACATTTTGAAATGCTCTCTTTAACAAACCCTGTTTTGTAACACATGCTCCAGTGTAAATTAAGAAATGTTAAGAAAACCACAAAAATGGGCAGGAATAGATAAGTTTTCTCTAATAAAAGTATCCTTATTCTAGTATAATAACTGACACTATTGAGAGAAAATTTAAGGATTTTGAATTTATGAACAATTTTCATTCAAGAAATGTTTCAGATCTTTTGAACAATATCACAATTAGAAATAAGAGAGAGAAATAATGGAGACAAATGAACTCTTTGTTCCTGAGTTGCATTGGAAACTGAAGGTCACTCCTGCTTCGTGTTCAGCTGAGCAAGTATCAACTGATGGCCCTATTGAGCCTTTGAAAACGGTACGTTTGGCTTCCCACTTGCAATTGGCAAGATCTCTTAACCTTTGACATGTTTTGGCTGGGACTGTCAATAAGCTCAAGCTGCCATTACAAGCAAATCCTGCACTATACATGTCTAGTCAACTGTGGACTTGCCATTTATTTCTCCTCTATGGGATTTTTAAAAGCATAGAAAAAGTCTTTTACCCAGTCTTTTTTTTACTCTTTCTTTTCTTTCCGTCCCCCATTTTTTGGACGTTAGCCCATCGTCAGATCATTCAAGCCTTTTCTGACTTTGAAAAAAAAGCAGAAAGGAAAGAGAGAGACACTCTCACGGGGTTCCCTTTTGTCAGACTCATGGTATGGGGGAGGAGGATGGAGTGAGTACAGGGTGAAGGTGCTGGTTATAAGACTGGGGTTTCGGTGATGGGGGCAGGCACTTCCAATGGCTGCCCCCCTCTCCACCCCCCATAAGTCTTTGTTACTCACCTGAGAGGTGAAGAGCTAGACAAGATCTTATTAATGACCAAGCATTTGAATGGGACTCTGCAAAGTGTGGCAAAATGGCTCCTTTCATCACAAATTTTAAAGCAGAAAATAGTGAAAGACTGAGCAAAGAGAGAGTGAGAAAAAGATTTTTCTGCTCCTTTCCTCCTGTCTTCTTTTTGTTCCTTTTGCCAGGTCTTTAATTTCTTGGGTTGCCCCCTTGAGCAGCCCTCCATGGCTCAGTGCTCGACCAGAGCAGAGCCTGGGAATCTTGGAGTTCCCGCTGTGCTCCTGCTCTTGATTGACATACCTTTTCAATTATTTCACAGTTTGCTTGCTTTTTAAATGAAGAGGGCCCTGTTGTTTTTTTTCCTTCTGCCCTCCTTTTCAAAACACAAGCTTTTCATGTCGGGTCTGGGCTGCCGGGCCTAATGGCTGTGACCAGCACCTTTGATCTGCCATGACCCCCTCGAAGGGTCTGGTACTGGGCGAAACAGCCGCCTGTGAGTATCAGAACAGACAAAGGCAGCATCACTCACTATTGCTTTAAACACCTTGAAAGATTACCATGAGAACAGGCGCTCTAGTGGAAGCCATCCCAGGTGGTGTGATATGGACATTAACCCTTAAATGTACAGTAGAATGCCAACCAATGATTATTCAAGGACTTGTGGAGAAGGATGGTTTTGTTTGCTTTATTCCAGAGAGAAATG